TTTTTTTTTTCAAAATTAACAAAAGTTACATTGTAACACAGATATTTTATTTATTTTATTTTATAATTATTATTATTATATGTAGTTTATTTATTTATTTTATTTTTTAAATTTTATTTTATATGTAATATTTATTTTATTGTTTTACTTATTTCACTGAGTGCCTCGACCCCTTGAGGCACTCAGCACACAGGCAGAACATCGGAAGCCTGCCCATTGGCTTCCGATGCTCATCGCTGCAATACCCTTAGAGCAGCTGGAAGCGATCATATCTTTTGATGGACATACCTAGTATGTCCGGGGTTTTAAGGGGTTAAAATGGGCCTAATTACAGAATTTTCATGATTGGAAACATTATAAATAATAATATAACTGTACGTGTCGAGTGCCTTTCGTCTAGTGGAGGTGGCGTTGGAGGGAGACCTGCAGGATGCATGTTTAAGAATACACATACTCTATGTCAAACTCTCAGTTCCATCTGTCAGTCTGTCCATCGTACAAGCTCCAGAGCTCACAACCCCTCTCACTCACTAATCACAAACTCTGAATCTGCTGTGTTCCGCACACTTCTCCTTCCCTTCTTATTAGCAGGCAGAAACATGTATGCAGCATGGGATAGTGAAAGAGGAGAATGTAGTGTGTGTAGTGGAAAGTGTACATGCCACACTGCCACATGATGGCAGGAGAATGCTGGGCTGTTAGAGAGAGAGAGAGAAGCACTAAGAGTATTTGCACAGTGCACATAGTTTTACGCTATCTATTTTATAGCCAGCCGTTACTCCCCCTCCACCCTCCTACCTGAGCTAAGCCTGATGATCTCAGACACTGAGCTAGCCCTGCTCAGTTGAAATTTGGCTTCTACACTTATACCTACCAAACACTGACCAACAAAAATCATTTACATCTCAAGTATCCGGAGTGAATAAAATAAAGGGTCTTTATGGGCTGGAACACTGACAGGGCAAGCAGACCGGTACAGTCAGGGGAACAAAAAAAACGTAATTGCTATTTTATAAAGATTCAAAGGGCTATTTATTCTAACAATGTGCATTAGGTCAATAGCAAGTGTACTTCCCTGCTGTAGCACAAACTCCAGCCATCTGTGTGTTTGTGGTTACGACCAACTGGCATGATATGGACTGTGCTCGCGGTATGTAGCTTGGAAACAAACATTCTCAGTACAACGATTTCAGTACGTACTGTTATGCAACCCCACCTAAATATATATTACTAATATTACTGCATCAATCACAGTAAGTATTTTCTTAAAGGTGAAAATGCTTTTCATTACTGCAAAAACTGCAGAGGGTGTTCTTTAAGGAGAAATAAGAGTAGGAATGTTAAAAAATTCACCTCTTTCTCTACCAAAATAGAAAACGACATAAAATCTTTTATTTCATGTAATTCCAAAAATTTAATATATATGATAACATGCCCTTGTGGATTTCAATGTATAGGGAAAACGTCCAGACCCCTTAAAATACAGATTAGGGAACATATTTATAATATTAATAGAAAATTTTATCAACATAGCATATCCAAACATTTTTTAGAGGAGAAGCCAGTGGACTAGATTTTTTTGGGCATTGGGAATGTTAAGGTTCACTGGAGAGGAGCAGATATTAATAGTCTCCTAAGTAAGTCTGAAATGAGGTGGATTTTTAACTTAGATACCTTATTGCCTAAAGGTTTAAATGCTGATTTTGAGATTAATTCCTGTATATGAAATGTGTTTTTATCAATTTTTTTTTATTAATTATGCTTCTTATTTTATTTCCAATTTAGGTTTTTATATTATTTATTCTATTTTAGCAAAATGGAAGTTTAGTTTTAAGTTTGGATTTGGGGTCCAATATATTAATTTTCTGAATCTCTCTTTCTCTTCTATCAACAATAGGAAATAATATGTTTATTTTATATAACCCATTTTATATTGTGTATTTATGTCTTTCGATGTCCCTTTTTTTATGGTATAGACTGTTACATGAGAGACTCCTATAAAATGACGTTAGGTCGCTGCCCTGTTAGGGTATGTGTATAATATCCACACTTCCGAGGACGGAACAATTTGTTATGAAAATTACGTTGGGACGCAAGGATGCCGAAAAACGTAGTCTGGCAATCTGATGACGTCAACAAAATAATGTGAACAGTTGGAGACCATCTGATGGCGAAAGCGGAAGTAAACCGGAAATATCGACAGCTCTGAAAGGGCGCAAATTCAAAGGTTTAAAAAGAAGACTATGGAGGATAACAGGACCAACCCACTTCTGAGGAAGGCATTTAGCTGAAACGCATAAAGTGGACTTATGTAGTTTATCTGAGGTCTAAATTTTATTTATATTATTTTGTCCAATAAAGTATTTAATCTTCACCTATTTTCCTGCATCCTGGATTTATACATGGTGTAAGCGAAAGGGACAAAGAATCATCTAGACTCACTCCCTGCATCGACTGGGTCCTCCAATTTAAGCTTCTAGTCTGAGCCAGCTTTGTTAAGTGCTCAGAATCATGTGAGTTGGACCAGCAAGCACTTATACATTTTTACGGTTTACTGTATAACACTGTGGTCTTCTCTTTTTATTAAATATCCCACACAGTTGTCTACAATTGTGGCATTTATACATATTGTGTGCTCTCACCTTTTTATTATATTGTATGACCCTTACATTAGTAGCCTAATTATATCAGGAGTGAGTGCCAACACTTTGTCTCTTTACAAACGTATGTATAGGAATATCTAGTACCCGTTTGTGGGTCAATATATATATAGTAGTTTTCTTATTACAGCTGGAGGCGTTAGGGCACCGTAGGCACCGAGTGTACTTTTCCCACCTTATTGCCTCTTTGGACAATGACACATACTATGATTTTTGGAACTATGATCAAATTTCCAATTTCATAGAACAACATTTTTATTACTCATATTGCTTAGGGAATTCCCTCGACAAACCTAAAATAAAGCCAGAAATGTTTCTGCCTGAAATCGGATAGCACAGAACTGGGCACATAAGTGAATTCCTGTAGAAAGGATCTGGTATTTTAAAATTGTGGCTTACACTGGGTGTCTATGTAACTAGTAACCAGATGCTCAATGAGAACCTTTTTATTTATTTTTCAAATACTGGGGATCTCCCAAACTAGCGTATATTTTGGGAGTTCATATTTTTGGGGGGATATGCTTGTAGCACTGTGTTTTTCACAGGATTATTAAAAAAATAAAACAACAAACAAGGTCACTTGCTAAATATTGAATATTTTTAACCCAGTGCCATCTTAACAGCATTATGGGCCACCGGGCAAAGCAGTGCACTGGGGCCCTGCCTACACAACAACTCACAGGAATAAAAATGAAAATTATCGATAAAATTAAGCTTATATCTAATGGTACCTCCAACAAATGCAATATATACATACAGACTGCTGAGTACACACAGACTGCTGAGTACACACAGACATACTTCTAAATACACACACAAACAAACACAAAGACTGCTGAATACATACACACAATACTGCTGAATACACGTACACAGACGGCTGAATACACACAGACAGCTGAATACACACTGACTGCAGTCAGGGGGTGCTGTGTATATGTTTGTGTGTTGGGGTGTTGTGTGTGTGTGTAAGTCGCTGTGTGTGTGACAGGTGCTGTGTGTGTGATGTGTATGAGGGGGACTGTGTGTGCGTGAGAGGCGCTGTGTGTGAGAGAGGCAATGTATGTGAGAGGTGCTGTTGGTGGGTGGTGTTTGTGTGTTGCAGAGTGTGAGGGGTACATGAAGCAAATGTTTTCTTGTTTATATTTTAATAAATATTAAATCTACATTAATAAAATCTGCATGTCCCCCCAACCTTTTTTCTTACCTTTAGTGAAGAGGGGGGGAAGAGACACTGCAAGTTCTGGTGGTGCAGTGGTGATCTATAGAGCCGGCAGCTCCTCTGGTTGCAAACGGTCTTCACTCCTCCCGAGCTGAGCGCTAATGGCAACGCTCCACACAGCCTGCTCGCAGGAGGAAAGATCTCCTCCATGGTCCCTCCTCCTGCCTCCAGGTCCTCCCGCAGTCTCGCCCCTCTCTCGAAGGGCCTTTGGGCCAGTGTGGGCAATCTTTGATCTCCCGACTGGCCCAACAGCAGGGCCTGCAGGGGAGATCAAAGGATCTACCCTGTCGGCCTGGGTATGCTGGGCAGTACGGTGATGCCCCCATGCCTGTTGGGTCCCCGAGCAAGTGCCCAGGGTGCCCATGGGGAAAGACGGCCCTGTGTTAACCCTTTAAGGACACAACTTCAGAAGCTTGTCTTGCACTTAAAGGCACAAGAAATTTTTGCCGTTTGTGCTCAATCGCAATTTGCATCTTTCTAGTTTATTGCACCAACACATTATAAATACTGTTTTAAAGGGCAAAATGGGCCTTAATTTGATGTGAGCTATCCATATACAATTTTCATTTATTATAAAAAAAAAAAAATTAAAGATTTTTTTTTCAGTTTTGGCAATAACATGCACATAACTAGTGTAGCTTAAGAAAAGTACTGTTACGGTTTGCTTTTACTGCAATAAAATACACATTTGTATACAACGATGTTTCAGGTACTGTTTTACACGTGAGACATCGCTGAATACAAATATGTGTATTTTATTGCAGTAAAATCTAACAGTATTATGACATTCACAGTTAAAATGTCACGCAGAACTAAAACAAATAACAACATTTCTTAATTTTTCACATTCATAGCTAAATGTTTGATGTTAAATGAAAGCCATATTTCTCCTGAATTAAATGATATATAATAAGTGTGGGTGCACTTAATATGAAAGAGGTGAATTACGGTTGAACAGACATATAGTCAAATTCCAAGTTTTGTTTGCTATTTATTTGAATCAAAATATGTACATTTGGCTCTGTCCTTAAGGGGTTACATTTTTGTACAAACACTTTAGCAGTTTTATTTTGTAAACTTTATATATGCTACTGTAATAAAAAAATAAAAATAAATCACTAAATTATGCTTAGCTGTATTTCCTGAGTACAGAATGACATCGTTTGCATACCTTTGTCAGGATATTGTGAAAATACAGGATTGAAATTGTATCATCAAATTGAAGATGGGCCTTTGGTGCATTTTAGTAGCCCATATATTTCAATTACGGCATATATGCAAACTATTCGCAAAAGTGTACACCATGGGGACTCTCACATAATAGTTTAAGCTTTATTAAGCTACCATTTTCTGTAAAGTTTTGTGGAATTCTAAACCAATTCCTAAACACAAATTCAACTGTGAATCTAATCATAAGAAACATAGAATGTGATGGCAGATAAGAACCGTTCGGTCCATCTAGTCTGCCCAATTTTCTAAATACTTTCATTAGTCACTGGTAGTTAGGATAGCCTAATGCCGATCCCACGCATGCTTAAACTGTGAGAAAGTGCTATTAGTGATCAGTAATGATGGCATAGCGTCACTGCGAGAAGGGGAGTGCTATAAGTGGTTGTATGGATGGTATAGGCTCACTGCGAGAAGGTAAGTGCTATAAGTGGTTGTATGGATGGTATAGGCTCACTGCGAGAAGGTAAGTGCTATAAGTGATCGGTATGGCTGGTCTAGGGTCACTGTGAGAAGGTAACATAGAAACCTCACCCCAGTCCTTACACATACCCAAATCATGTCTAATCCCAATTATAACATTAATCTTAACCCTAGTAATAGAAGGATTCCCTCTGCTGGTGTCCGCAAAGGAATTCCCTTGCCGAGTTCAGCAGAGGGATTCCCGTGCTGATTCTAATCCTAATCTGAAACATAATCCCAATACTACAATTAATTCTAAACCTAATCTTAAACATAAATTTAATAATAAACCTAATACTTATTCTAAACCGAATCATAATTCTTGATTTTGAATCCTTAATTTAATTTGAATTCCAAACGGTTTGCCTCTCCTAATATCAGTAAAGGAATTCTAAACTAAAAAAGAAAGTGATATGTTGCTCCCTTCTCCTGGCTATTTTCAGTATTATAGACGCACTGGATACCGCACTCACCAAATAATCCAGGTGCTCTGGAGCCAGGGCTGGCCAGGCCTCTCTTCCAAGATATGCAGAATATATAACGGTTTAGGCAGCAACGTTTGGACCCTACCAGGTCTTTATCAAGCTTGCCCCAATAACGCTGCTATTTGTTATTCCGGAGTGCCTGAACAGTTATTTATTCGGCTATTTTCAGTATGGCAGTCTCCTATCTCTAATACTGAAGATAGCATGCCCAATGCATTGCGATCGGTGCTGGGCAACAGAAAAAGCCCAGGACTGATCAGAATGGCATTGGGGCATGTAGGGTGTTCAGGCTCTGGGGGTCCCAAGCACCATATCTAGTAAGAGAATGATTGTAGTTGAGCTTGATAAATTAAAGGGCTACAGGCAGTGCTTACTTTTAGCACTGTATGCAGCTCATCAAAAAGTCTAGGTCTACGGAAAATGGGTGCAGCTGATAAAGGCGAGCTCGAAGTATCAATGGGTATTTACATCCCCATTTAAATGCCTGTTTGCAACACTCACATTTTGCTCACGCAAACAGAGCAGTCAGTCAGTCTGGAGCCACTAATTTTGGCCATAGGTGACAAAGGGAAGCCCCAGGAATCAAAAGATACCTGGTGTTCATAGTTACCAGCAGGAAAACAGTCTGTTGGGAAAATACAGCATGACGGTGCCCTTGAATGAATTACAAGCACGACAGAAAGTCGTGCATCCTTATGGGGTTAAAGAAAACAGAGCATCACACAACAAAAAAAGTCAATACAAGTTATAGGTGTTTTATTCAAAGGTGTAGTTTCAAGAGAAGTGACAGTTCCTCTTTAAAATAAAATATTTAGACAAAAAAAAAATGTGAAACCCAGGATTTGTGGGGTAGAAAAATAAAATAATTTTAGCAATTTGATCCTTTTCAAAACACTTTGGTGGTTTAAACCAAATATTATGTAACAACAAGCATTGTACACATTTTTCACTACACAAACATATCAGTCTAACATATTGTGCATATTGTCAGAATGGTAAAAGGCAAAGTTGCCTCTTGTACAAAATTTAATCAAAGCTTGGAATAATGTAGTCATAAATCACCTCTGCTCTTGATGGGTGTTGGGAGCAGAAGAGGGTGGGGGAATTTAATCAGGACTAGCAGCATCCGTAATCACGGTGTGCTGGATACATGCTGAGATAGGGATGGAGTATATGATTCCTGTGGATAGTAAACACCATGTGGATGGTAAACACCATACCAATGTCTTTTACTTTTATTCTGCTTGTTAATAATTTTAGTCTATAGCAGCAGGTCTTGTAAACCACCTCCTGGCCACAAAGAACGAGAAAGGCTTAGGAACCGAGGCCAGGGCATGTGTCGGCATCCTCTTGATGAGTGCAACCGGCCACCTTGTTTCACATAAAGAGGTATATGAGCGGTTCATTACGGAGGATGAACAAGTACTTGGACAAACCTCAGTCTTAATCTGATATTTTTTTTAAGACAGCATAAGTACAGGCAGTACCATCTTTGCAGTTTTCCCTCCATCTGATTAAAGAGCAAGGCACTGAGAGACAGGCATCACTTAAATACATATCACAGTCTGGAATTCAGAGTGAAGTTCATCATGCCAGCTGCTGTTATATTCCACTCTGAAAACACAACAGTAATTCCTACAGGGATGCAGTGTTCTGAGGAAGGGAAGGGGGTGGGTTTCGACAAAATATGAGGACCAGCCTCATAACTTGAAAAAGTGACATTGTGGCAGTGGAGGGCACGTTATCGTTCCATGGCCAGTTCTTACATCCTTCATGAGGTTCAGACTTTCTGAGACAGGCTTGCTCCTGTTTACAGGTTGACATCAGTCAGAATAATATTGGCTGTGACGTAGATAAAACAGGTCAGCGCCCAGAAAAGCACAAACCACACCCAGCCAGATTGCCGAAAGGGAGAAAGATGTTTATTGCCAAGTTCAGGTCCATAGACTAAGGCGGAATCCTTTCGGCTGCAGAATACCAGAAATGCCGGAATCACGTACTGAATGCCATTACCTGCGTATGCACCAGTGACACTAACTAGTATTTCAAGGTGGTTAGTACAAAATGCCACAATGATGGGAGGCACCAGTGTTATAAGTGGAAAGACTATACGGTCAACAAGCCATGGGTAGGTTCCACCCTCACGATGGAAAAGGGTCTTCCAGTTGTTGCGTAGTGTAACGGCAATGATAGGGAAGTTGGTACTTATAGTGAATACTGGGAACAGACCAAGAAAATAGCCAATCACTGGCGGTACAAAGGGGCTGCAGGTGCCGAAGTTGAGGGTGTACATATCCATTAAGGCTCCTGAACTGAAGCAGAAAATGGCCGTGAAGCAGAGCAGGCTGTAGAATGAAAGAACCAAGATGTAGTCCACTAGTACAAGTCCTGTCAAATGCTTCTTTCTTGACACAGGAGTGATCAAGGAGGGCAGAGAATGTTGGCACATGAACGAATAAACACAGACTCCAAACAGGTTACGAATCCCTGAGAACTGTGCAAGAGGTGGGTGGCCTGCCCCTTTGCCTTCACCAATCCGTACCAACGCTACTACAATCATGATGATAAAAGCTGCAGTGGGGTAAAAAGGAATGGGTTAATTAGGATGACATGAAACAGAATTACAGAGCTCCCTTCCTATCTGTGGTCAGTCTCTCCTATTATAAGACGTCACATGCAATGCTGACGGACAGTTGAGAGTTAAACATTTTACATCTACGATTTATGACACTGTCGCAGAAAAGAACACAGTGGCAGTAAAACTGTGAAAACTCATTACTTGCTCCATAAATCAATACAAGGAGAAGCCCTTGACACCATCCTTCCCTATTCCCCTTGGTGTTACAAGGACAGAATCCAACTCGGAACATGGGCAGTTCAGGTCAATATCTGCAGGGAGTAGAATTCTGTGATTAAAATGACTTGGGAATGGTTGGGACTGGCAAACATCATCTGGTTTATGAAGCTTTCCTTTTCAATGTGCTTGACAAATGTTCAAGGCAAGCAAGTAGTCATATTTATATACACCAAGGGAAGGATTAGATTTATGCTTTTATCTACCCTCTGTGCCTCTTATCTTTGCACATGGTCATGAATTAAAAGGGGTCTAAAATGAATTTATTCTTGTTACATGCCAGTATATTTTTTTTCATGAGCATATTGTGCAGTATTAAAACTGTCAGTTGTTGTTTATTTAAATATATAAAATCCATAGGGATATATTTTATAAAAGAATAGCAAAATAAAAACAATTTAAACCCAATGCGAGTTGAGGACATGACAGTTACTTGAAGGGGCAAACTAGGCAACATTACTACAGCTCTAAGTTACACAGTGTTAATTTGACATTATCGATATAAATGATATGATTTCACTCTAGGCAACATAACCACTATAGCAAGCTGTTGTGGCTATGTTGCTTGGACTGCCCCTTTAACAAAATTGTTACAGGTGATACTCACTTACCAACCGAGTTACGCTCCTACGACTCGGTCGTAAAACGAGTTGGTTGGTAAGGGAGGATGCAGAGTCTCGAATGCCCTCGAAAGCAGATCTATGTTCGGGGAATTCCTCCAAATAGAGAACAGCTTACTAGCGCAAGGAATCCTTCTTATCTATGTTTCGCAAAAATTCCCTGAACATAGACCAGCTCTCTAATGTGGGGTATCCTTTGAATTCCTGCGTTGAGAGTTGGTCGTAAGTCCGAACCATCGTTACACAGGCAAATCATAAAGTGTGGGCAACCTGTATTTTATTCTGGGTGCAGTGATCACAGTTCCAGATAACAGGTCTTAGGAAAAAATCAATGTTTAATTGTAGCTTGTTGAACATATTCATTTTTATATATACATTTTTCCAAATATGTGATAAAATAATTAATTACAGCAAAAAAACTAAGCAAAAAAAACCCCTGAAACCTTTATATGACATCTCACTTACCAATCCATCTCATTAGAGAGGTCAGGATCTGGAGGTACTTTGTCTTCTGTACATTGAAAAAGGTAAAAGGACCAAGAAACACAGTGAAAACAACCTGAATAGAAAAAAGAAATAAGATTGTAAGTTTCAGTTATATATTCAATAGATAATAAAACAAAGTGAAACATATATTTACATATGTACTGTCCTTTAAGGGACACTAAAGTCACCAGCACCATTACAGCTTAATGTGGTGGTTGTGGGGCATTTAGCCTGTAACTGCAAGGCCAACAGTGTAAACACTACCTTATCTGTGAAATGGCTGCTGCCTATGACCACCTCTAGAGGTAATCACTCTGACAGTCACTATAGGAACTTGGTTCAGTCCTGCAGAGATTGCATGGAGATGCCGAACGTTCCCCAAAAGTATGCATACACTTAATCAATGCCTGGCAATTTGCTATGCATGCGCAGTAGCCTCCCAATGCTTCCCTGTGGGCACTCAAAATTACTTTTTTTATAATCTATGAACAATGCTTAAAAATGACCCATTTTTTAATACAATATAGATGATACATTAAAAAAGTAATGCAAATAAATAAAATATAAAAAATATTTACCTTCAATGTTCTGGGAGATGCATAACCGAGACAAGCTGATTGCAGCTTTACGATATCCCTCCCCCAGGAAGAGGCTCCATTGATTAGGAGTCTCTTCTGCTCCATGGTTTCTGATTTTATCTCATTAACACCTGTCTAGCAGATGTTTATGGGGTAAGCAGTTTATCTATCACGAACAGTTCCAAATGTCTTGTAGCGGCTTTATAACTGATAGAAGCCATACTGCAGTTTCTTTCAATTGACAAACAGTCCAGTCCACAATGTTGTGAAACAGGTTGACTGCTGCCATCTGCCAAGCTGGCCTTCCAGTGAAAAGGAAAAGAGAGAAGTATTTGATCCACTGCTAATTTTTAATGTTTGCCCAGTGACAAAGAAATGATCAGTCTAGAAGTCTTAAGAAAAGATCCCTCTCTCCCTACTCAATTCCAACACCCCCCCCCACCCCACTATGAGTTACAGGAGGGGCAAAAATTTGAGAGACTTTTTGATACACACAGACCAATACACACAAATACAGGAGAATACATTAAATAAGCACCCGGGATGCTATCGGTGTCTCAAATGTATGGCATTCAGCAATATGATCCCAGGGAAAGTATTCCCTCACCCAAGAACGGGGAAAATCTATAATCTGCTACAAGATTACGTGTACTACGACCCACGTGGTATACTGTATTATATGCCCATGTGGCTTGGTCTACATTGGGAAAACTTCTAATGACCTTAGAGAACGGATGAGGGGGAATCGTTCAGCCATCCGGCTAGCATTATTGAGTGGCTCTGCCACTACTCCGGTTGCCAGACATTTCCTGGAGGCAGGACATACCCTACCATCATTCCGGTTCATGGGTATAGATCATGTACCCCAGTCACCCCGAGGAGGTGATCGGGATAACCAGCTTTTGAGGAGGGAGGCTTATTGGATTTATACACCGGGGACTCTTTCCCCATATGGACTTAATGAGAAGAATCCGCTACACTGTTTCAACCCGAGACGTTGAATGTATCATGTTCTATTTTGATTAGTGTATAGTATACCATGATGATTTCACCTAGATCTGGATACTGTATATGATGGCTTGTATAGTCTGTAGCTTTGCACCTCTCTATGTATTCAGTTAACCTTTGACTTTTTAACTGAAATTTCTCTCGTTGGGTAATAAGGTTCTTCCTGTATGATAGGTGGAGGGACTGGGTGCCCGTGCATTTTGTTTTTATATTTATATGCACTTGGTCTATACCACTAAATTCTAGCGGACTCGGGTTTCTCCATCTATACTTTCTGTGGCTTGTAAATAATCCCTTGTACATATTCATATTATATATATATATATATCTGTAGATAAGGTTCTTTCACTTCTATTTTTCACCAGCAATTCACTCCTCCTGTAGGGGTTAATAGTACCATATTACGTTTTTCGAATCTTTACACGCCATCAGTGACATCACTGAACCTCTGTTTCATTTTTCACTCTCCAATCACATTTCAATAGTTGTATATTTAAACGGTTGTTGCACTGTTGTAAATTGTCTTGATAAAAGTCAGTTTGGACTGAAACGTCGACTTTACATGCATTTATTTGCTAAAATAAAACACTAATTTGAATTTAAAAGCCCTAGGAGTACACTCTTTGTGGATTATATAAAGTATATATAGTATATTTTGCACAACCTGCCTATTATATGAAGTATATGTCAAATATGGTACTAAAAGATGGAATGTAAGCAGGAGATGTGTGTGGATTAATGTATGGCAATATTTCTTTATGTATGTAATACTTACATAAGATTTACCAATATAAGCCCACATCCAAAAGGAAAAGGTATTTTAAAAATGGAGTTTTAAAACTGAGCAATTTTAAACTCAACCTGGATAAATCGGAGGAGTTAAAGATCTCTGGTCTGATTGGTCTCAGGATTGGCTAAAATACATGGAGATCTGGATACCACGGGATTTACAGATGTTGTATCAATTTAACTTCCAACCACTCCTCAACTGCCTCCAGTCCGACATGAAGTCATGGGGCTAACACCCCACTTCTCCTGGACCGCGCAAATCAACTCCATAAAGATGAATGCCCTCCCTAGGATCCTCTACCTTTTTTCAGAATATACCCCTGACTCTACCGGTCACTTTCTTCAAATCCCTAAACACAGCGGTAGTGTAATACATCTGGAGAGGCCGGAGATCTAAACTTGAAGGGCTGTTGGGACTACCCCTATTTCAAACGTACTATAGAGCTACTCATCTGACCAGAATAGTGGAGTGGCATAAGACCGGGACCAGAAAGATCTGGTGCAGCCTTGAACGTGAGATGCCGGGGGACGAATAGCGTCCGCGGTATAGCTATCCGAGGGGGAGACAAGATCCTTTATTGAACAGCCATTCATAGGTGCCACACTGACAGTATGGTATCAAATAAGGCACAAACTCTCTCTAACACCACAAGGGGGCCTTATGTACCTGGCTTCGGGAAACCCAGCTTTCCCACCGGGCCTCGACAGGCGAGCACTAGATTTCTTACGAGGAGGCTCGTATGTCTGACCTGTCTAACAACAGGACAATAAAACCACTCCAGAGCACCCACAGCTATGAAAACCTTCAGATACCATCAACTCTGTCACTTTACAGCCACTATAACTACCCAACTGCGGCTCGCCAAGCCTCTGACGTTGGTAGAAGATATGTGCAGCAGGACGAAAGCTCATATATCTACGCTTTACCAACTGCTGAAGTCATCTGATAAGGTTCTGCCTCCTAGATTCCAATCGCTATGGGAAGAAGCACTCAACATGACATTCACAGATAAGGAGTTGGATAAGATGGCAACATTTACCTACCTCAGCTCACTCTGCGCAAACTATAAGGAAACAAACTAAGATTTTTACCCACTGGTATGATACACCACAGTAGTTCCACAAATTCTTCCTGGATGTGCCCGACATCTGCTGGAGGTGCGAGAATGGACCAGGGACTCTACTCCATATCTTTTGGGATTGCCCATATTGGAAAAAGGTTCACACAGCAATGCTGGAGGTGGCAGATGAGGGAGTCGTCTGGCATCCAGCAGATGTCCTACTCAACTGCTCCATGCTCCCAGTCTCGAAGTTCAAGAGATCATTCTCGAGACACATGTTGACGACGGCACGCTCACAGATTCCCACGAACTGGTGTCGGAAGGACCCCCAACATTCCAAGACTGAAATACGCCAGATGGAGGAGGGGGTAGCCGTGGCCTGGGGTAGGCTGAACAAACATGAGGAAATCTGGAGGACGTGGATGCTGTACTTAAGCACACAAAATTAACCACACTACACCTGAGGACAGTATTATCTGGGCTACAGGAGATGGAAAACAGACTGTGTGGCCTTGAGGGGGCTGGGGGGCAGTCACGCCAGTGCTGCTCACTCTTCCGTCTTCTATATTGCCTACCTTACCTTTCTCAACAGCTTGCCCTCCCCCTAACTTCTCCCCCTACTACGCTATCCAATCACATATCCTATTTTTCTATTTCATACTGCCCCTTAGTGCATGTATTACTAGCCACAGGTCTGCTGATGGCAGAGAGAGTTGGCTGATAAAGAGAAAAACCTTACTTAGTGCATAGGGGCCAACTACTCAGTGGGCCAATGGCTACTATGATGTGTCACGGAAAGGCTCAGGCTGCGGAGGACTTGATGGAGATCCAAGCAGGTACCAACTTAGGGACGGCTTAACACGAGGCTTCACAGATTAGTGCTATAGAATGCACTGGAGGCATATTCGCCCTCCACTCACCTACCTCGCATAGATTCCGTGGTCCTGACATCCCCTGGCAGATGCGGATAGCTCTCCTGGGCTCCTTGTGGAGTCACATTTTGACGCAACAAATCCTGACACACGACCAAGCTGCACACATACGAGCCACACACATTTCCTTAGTGCCAATCCAATTAGCAGAGGGTACCCACAATATGGTTTAGAAAATGTTGGAAATCTACTTATTGTGATGTTAGAAAATGTATCACTGCTATCACTGTCTAAATGTTCCATATGTCTATTAACTCCTGATTGTTCTGCACAATCTCTGCTAAAAACGAGATTGTCAAAAAAAAAAAAAAAGAAAATGGAAAGAAGGGGAAGGAAAAAAAGGGAAGGGAAAAGGAGGTGAAACCGAAAAAAAAAAAGCAACCTTCTGTCTGATTTACCAAGCAAATGGTACAATGCAACCAGATGCAGACTCGGGTTCTTTAGCGAAACCCATTCGCACACTGTATGGATTGGAAAGATTGAAGATATGTTTCTAACGATTAATGGCACTGTGCTCATTACATACTATTTTATTGGTCGACAATAGGCCAAGAAATTTTTCTTGTTTTGTATGCATACCTGTAATCCTACTGTATGACCTTTATTTTCACTCTATTACTTGTAAATCCTGTGCTAAAATCTTTCAATAAAAACAAGATTGTAAAATAAATAAATAAATAAATAAAAATGGAGCTTTAAACCAAATTTTCCAACAGACAATTAAAAAACTTTATTGGAGGGTATAACTGCTTAGTACTATTTTGTTTGTGTACCTTGCGTATCTCGTCTCTTATCAAAACAATTAAAGTGCCTCTGCTGTAGATGATGTTACCATATCGCATCCCTCCTCCCCATTGTGACTTTTCAGGTGAAGGACACAGAATTAATAGATGCAGAACTCTAGTGCTGCAGTATTCTAGTGGATATTCCCCACATGATCACTGCAGTTTTTACTGAATACATTACGTTTACATACTGCCCACCGCAGTATTGTAATGTATGCTGAAAAAACTCCATCAAGTTTAAAAGGACTCTACAGTCACCCAGACCACTTAATCTCAATGAAGTGGTCTGGATGCAGTGTCCCTTTTCTTTTTAACCCTACAATGTAAAAAAACTGCAGTGTTTTTGGAAACTGCAACGTTTAAACTGCTGGGTTAAGTCCACCTCTAGTGGCTATAAGTATGAATGCAAGAGGACATTAAAAGGAAACTATAGTGCCAGGAATACAAACTATTATCCTGTCACTCTAGTTTCCCCTTCCGTCAAGCCCCCCCGCATGGTGCAGAAGGGGTTCACTTACCTTGGTCCAGCGCTGATGTCCCTCGGTGCTGGCTCAGGTCCGCCGTGACTCCTCCCCTGCAATGGCTGCGCTCGCATTAGGATTTCCCCATAGGAAACATTTCAATGCTTTCCTATGGGGATTCCGGTGCTACTAGAAGTCCTCATGCATAGCGTGAGGATGATCAGTGTCATTTAGGCAACCAAAAGTCGCTTAAGCACCCAGAAGTCCCTCTAGTGGCTGCCTGGTGGCAGCCATTAAAGGAGGAGTTAGCCATAGCAGGTAATTATTGCAGTTTATTAAAATCATAATAACTAATTCAGAAAAGGGAAGAGATATCTCAGCCCAAGCCGTACTTGTGCATGCTTCATGTATACATTGGATGAAATGTATACCATGCTGCGTGAACAAGGTATTGCGTCTCCCTTTTTTACAGTTCAGAGTGGCAGGATATGCAAAGTTGTGATGGTGCTTAGAGTGACGTTTTCATTTATGACTTGTCATTGGCAAGTAATGCAGCTTAGAAAATAAATTGGGTAACTTACTATTCACTGTCCTTAAGAAATGTATACTATTTGTAAGTATACTAAAGGAGAGAAAGCACAGTTAAACAAACACATAGCAAAAATGACAAAACTGCAAACTGAAATTGTAAAATCACGTGCTATAATTTAATAACTCACTAAGGTCCATCTTACCAGATAGATCCTGTAAGCATCGATCCGTCTGATACTTCCCCAGCATGGATCCGTGTCATTCCGCTCTCCCGCGTGAGTGCCACATGAACCGTTCACAGAAAAGCTGAGAAGATCAATAAAGTCACATGTTGACCCTCCTTACCCGAGATTTTAAAATAAGATATTTGACAAAAGCGAAGACTGTGGAAAATATCCGAGGTAATACAATCTGGTACGTGGTGTTTTTCATCACACGTCCATTACTTACCACGTGACCTGCACCAAAGACAGAGGTACGGCTGTTGCATATATAGCCAAATCACCATAAAGATATATAATGATGCATAAATAAAATAGGTTTACTCCAACTGCAAAGAAAAGGGAAAAAATGTCAGAGTAAGGAAATAATGTTCTGGATGGCAAGTCTATCAAAATACAAGTTATCTGTAACAAGAATGATGGCAACTAAGCAAATGTTTATTTTGCAGTTTAAGATAGGGAGTTAACACTGGTATGTTATACCAGTATCGGCACAAAGAAAGATCTGCAATTAAATATAAAAATTGGAATCTAAGGTCTAAGCTCCGTGGATACACTGTCGATGTTTTGTATGGATCTTGTTGTGTATAGAATGCAGAAGATACTGGTCATTGCAACTCGTCCTCGTAGACGAGTTTGTGTTGGTTTCTACTTAATTCATACCTTTATTGAAGAACATAGACGCCATTTGTCCCATTTCAACTCTCTCTGCTATTTCAAATGGATCTGATAAACCCCGATGTTCTGAAATATGTCAAAACAGATCATGATAACCAAACCAATAAATTTTTATAGGTGTGGAGAAAATAGCATCAAACATTTATAATCCCACTCCCCAATAGTGAATAAAATAAATCATGTAAACCTACACTAATGAGTGGCCTTTTAGTAATGACATTAGGTTGCTAAATGTGACAATCACAAAGGTGTCATATTTTCGATATACAACATTGTTCATAACAACAATAGGATCTAGTTAAAGGGTTACTGCCAAGTACCGTAACCACCTCAGTCTTTTGACGTTGTCATGATGTTTGGAGTTTGCATAGATGGGGGGCATAAGGGATGTTAACATCCCCTATACCAATATGGGACTCTTTTCAAGAGGTTTTTTTAAAAACATTTCTTAAATGGTCATTAAAGACCGATAAATGTACTTCCAATGCACATTTATTTGTGGTTTTATTTTAAGCGGCCGACCCGTTTATTGGGTTTGGCTGCTTGAACTTCAGCTGGCATTAAATTAATTTGATTAAAACAAAAATTGGCAGGAAAAGTCTATAAATGCTTTTAGCATATAGAATGAAATCAAGGCAATAGTTAGTGTATCACTACATGTCTGTTTGTTGTCTGTCTCAGCTGCATATTGAATAAAACAGCTTGATTAAATATTACAAGGGGACAGAAGAAAGCAGCCACAACAGCCAAACATTATACCCTAAGGACAAGCAACAGTATTTAATACAAAGTGGGGGAGGTTCCTAGAGTAATGGTGGTTTGCCCTACTTGCAGTCGGTGTGTTTGGGCTATCCACAGAAGTACAAAAAAAAAGTAAAAAAAAAAAAAAAAAAAAAAAAAAACCTCTTCTTTTATTTATATTTAAAGAAAGTTTTGTTAATTGAAACTTTTTTTAAAAATGCGTTTTATAATAAATACGTGGAATGCTCTCCCTAAAGAGGATGTATCATCAGATATATATATTTTTTGTGTGTGTGTTTTGTTTTTTTTAAATAAAATAATATTAAATTATTCTAGGTCTATTATATTTAATTATTCTAGGTCTATTATATTTAATTATTCTTGGTCTAGTATATTTTTTGATCCAAGGAGAAATCTGAATGCTAATATTACACACTTTTTTCCCATTACCGAAAAGAAACAGCTCTATTGTTCTGATAGTTTTACAGGGGTGTAAGATCCAAAAATAGGCAGAAAGTCAGTAAAAATATACATCAGGATTTTGCAGTGGAAGGTATCTAATTGTGATTTCGCTACAGTATTTGAAATTGTTCCTATGTCAGTTCAAAGCAATTGGCTTAGAATGTTTATTTATATTTTGGATTGCACATTGGCTTAAAGATAAAGTACAGTAGTTGCTAACGGGAATTTTTCAAGATGGACACAGGGTAGTAGTAGGTAGATTTACTTTCTCTCTTTTGTGACAAACTGGCCAACAGCATGAAAAAATGTGTTTGAAAGTTGAACTCAACTGATGTCGGTCTATTTTCAACCCAGATTACTATGTAACTATATACTCACGGACAGAAAGAATGGGTTGAATCTCTGATCGGTCGTACCCAGATGGAGTCGGACCATCATTATCTGACCCGTCTGAAAGGTCAGCATCCTGTGGAAGTGGATAAAGGAAGGGACACAGAAGAGAAGATAAAATAGCATGTCCACATATATTTTGAACAGACTATCCATAGGGGCTGAGAGTCTTCTGGTGTACAGGAGGTTTAATACTTTCGTTGACCACTATGAATTTGATCTATTACTTTCCAGCTCCAAGCCATACGTTCTATATACCTCCACCCACCCTACCATGTCACTGTCCACTGTGTGATTGAAACTTTTAAGTTCTTTAACGTTTAATAACGATTACGTTTATACATATATTTGCATTTACTTAGGGAAAACCTTTGGGGCTCTCTCTGTGCAGAGAACACTTTTAACCATTTATTTTGGTCATTTTGGGGGGTTCAGTTGTCTATAGGCTTTTCCAGGATCGATGGATGAACCTTGATTTATAGGGGATCCATATATTAGTCTTTTAAACAGAACTTACCTCCTCTTTTTCACGTTTCTTCCAGCGTAGCTGAGCGTTGGCTGCGGCCATTGCTTCCACTACAAATGTTGTTGTTACATAACTAGAAAAAAAGCCAAACCAGAAAAAATATCAAATAAAAAGAAACCAAATGAAACCAACATGGAAATACATGCAAAATCCATTTATGTGCATGATGAGCTTAAATGACAAATCTTGCTCGCTCACCTCATAAACGCCAGAAATATGAGGAGAATAAGACTAATTAACCATCCGGCTTGTGCAAAGGCCTTGGGCATAGTGAGGGCACCTGTACCAACTATCAGATTGAACATATACACAAGACCAACCTGCATGGGGAACAGATAGAAAAAAAAACAACAATTATGAACACAATCTGCAATCAGAATGCACACGTGTTGCATAGCTCAGCTCTGGTGTTCCGTGTCTCCCCACAAGTTTAGCCACAAGTCGTCACAAGACACGAGATCTTCGTTTCAACACTTCCTGATCGCAATACTGCTTCAGCAAACATAAAAATCTGAGTCAGATAAAATTTTATTGTGCCGTCGGGAACTTACTTCTGCGTAGACCAGCTAGGCTATTCCTAAGCACAGAGAGCTGAAGTGCCACTTACATTGAATCTATTATGATACAAGATCATGAATTAGCATCATTTATAATGCTAGGATCATTGCAAATTATTAAAAGGTCCCAGAGCCCCTTGGACCAGGGAACCATGGCGTGTCCCATTTGGACGCTGCCATCCTCTTCCGTCTGCTCCTTTTCAACAGCTGGCAGGAGCCAACATCAGCAATGTACTCTAACATATGTTCGTGAGATCCTCCATTGAAGGAGCTTTATTTCCACACAAGACAGCTGGGGAACATGACAAGGCTTGCCGGTGGTAGATTCTCCTTTTCTCAAGCTTTGTCAAAAGTATGAAAATACTGAGACAAAGCAGTCCCTACTTTGTCTCAGAAATATTTTGACTGGGTTGGAATTTCAGTGAAATTACGACATAGTCAATGTGAGTTTGATCTCATCGTTATGAAATACTCCTTTTTTGAAACGGGGATGACAGAGCCGCTTTAAGATAATTGGGGCTGGCTCTTCCACTGACTGTACGGTAAAAAACTGTATAGCAGATAGGACCTCAATTTTAAGTTATCATGAAAACTAAGAATGAAGCAGTTTGCAATGTGTAAGGTACTAGAAACAGCAGTATTAATTCTAGCATCACCAGTGTTCTTTTTAGGATGAAATAATACCAGTATCATGTAGGCTGTAGCTGTATGAGTAAAAGTTATAAAGGAGCACGCACAGTCTCCGAGCATGGTACATTACACATAAGCCTCAAATAACCTGTTTGGAAACATAGGCGAGTTGGCGAATCGCTCCCAGTTCAGCTATTTTGGCCCTAATGAAGAAACATTAGGTAGGTATAGGTCTTCCAAAAAAACAGAATCCAAGATTTGACAAACACGTTCACTTATATCAAGACTGATTGGCGTGTCACATCAATGCATATCTAATGATAAAAAGGATATTTTAGTCTGCCTTAACTATAAGACTATATTTGACATATGCTCATTAAGATCAGTGATACACACATGGAATGAGAATAGGCTTAATTATGGTATTTAAGAAGAACAGAATACATTATTAGGAAGCTATGCATGATAAATGATGTTAATTACATAATACATTCTGTGAAACAACATCACATCAGATGATTAATTAGCAGCAGCAGGTTCTATGGCAGGAATGAAATTGGATTAGTGTAAATGAAATAGTGATCGCAGTCCTAACAAAAATATGTAGATATACTAGTCTAACAATTTCAGGCAGGTAAAGAATATTTGGACTACTTACAAATGGAGAATATAGCTCTCCTGCCTCTGTAATGTCCCCCGCCATGGTTCAGGGGAGGCAAGGTGTTAAGGAATAAAATTGTTGACCCTGAAAAAGAATTAGAAACAGCTTTTTAAATGTAGTAGGAGAGGTATGGAACAAGTGAACATCTACTAAGGGAAGTTTATTCTGGTGTATCACACATCTACTCCACACATGCTTGCAATAAGGCAGCATTTACTATACTTACTGTAGGGAGTTCTCATAAAATCAATCCCCGTTTTTTGCATCTGAAGCAACATGGCAATGATCAGACATTTAATGTACAGATGTTTTCCTTTGTGGAATGTAGTAGATGAAAGAAATCTGCATGTATTAGTAAATGCCATACACATATTTGGACAGAGAAGTTAGACCTTCAAGCTATGACTTGTCAAGTTGCGGATATGGGCTTCAGAATCCACTGCATTTTGTCAAAACATTCAAAAGTAGTTTGACAAAAAAAAAACAAGGGACTAAAACAAAGCCTAAAAGCCCCCAAACCAATACAATAGTGCTTGGAGTGTCCCTTTAATGCATGTTTTAATGTTGTAGAATTCTGTGGTTTACACAAAACATCTAATATTCAGACCTCCTAGAAGTGAAGTTTCCAAGACGGACTCAGTGGAAGACATGGGAGAAAGGCTGCAAGTCTTTTCTTACCAGATATCTCCCATTTTTCTTAATTAAAGTAATACGCTAAGCACCTAACCAACGTTAGCGAAATGAATTTGTTTTTGTGTATAGATCAAGCCCCAAGCAGTTTTATTGCTCAAATATCAGCCATTTACGAGTTAAATCACTTTTGTTTCTGTTTATGCAGCCATATCCACACTTCCCATGGCAGGGACTCACTCATGTAAAAATGTTTAGTTTTCAATAAGATGTGACAGCACAGTGTGTTTACTTTAGAAGTTTTTATTTCCGGTTCTGTTAATTGAACTTTAAACACACAAGAGGCTACTGCAGGCTTTTAATGGAGCAGGGGACACAACATTCTAAATTACATAGACTGTGCAATAAACGAAGTTTAAACATTAGATCTATCTTTACAGGAAATGTGTAATGAGGCTGTGTAGGTCACATAAAGGGGAGGGGCTGAACAAATAAAAAGCAGAAAATTGAGCAGTTAGACTGCAGGGGCATGATCTATACACCAAAACTGCTTCATTAAACTAAATGTGTGTTGGTGCTTATGGTGTTCCTTTAACTTTTGTTTCTTTCTGGTGATACGGTCACTCAGCATGTGAATCAGATTTCCCAGTAACCTGACTAATGAAAAAGGCAAATCTAAAATGAAGCAACTCTTCAAATCATTCTAGTATGTCCTGGCATTGGCTTTGAAAGATTACTACAATTAAAAAATGATAAATAATAATAAATAATGATTTTTTTTTACTATTTTGACTAAACCTTCAATAGATTAGACTTGTACACAATCCATAAATATGTCTAAATAAACATAATGCGTTTTGTTTTTTTTTTTCCATACCACCAACAATTTACACAGTAGCGCAGTTACTTGATATGCTTACACGGTTCAATGCTTAAACGTGATATGCCTTAAATCAAGGGCCTGCCTGCAATCTTATAGTAGGAAACACATTACAAGGCAGAGAGCTTGCACTGTGAATCGATTTCCTTTGGTGGCTATTTATATATTTCATAGTTTACTTCTTGGAAAATTACATTGTATGAAAAATTGTGCCTGCATTTCTGAAATAGTGCAATTTGGAATGAATGGATACTTAATTTGTTCTTGTTGATTGTATTTAGAAAATATTGCATATACTTTTGTACTGTTTGGAAACGACAGTCAGTGTTTCTCCCTACTCTATAGGCAGGAGACTGTCTCTGCAGCCTCAGCAGTGTAAAAACTGCCATTTCTGGGAAAAGGCAGTGTTTACACTGCTGCTTAAAGCCACCTTCAGTGTTTGTCACTCAGAAAGCCACAAGAGGGGGGCTTCCTGCGTCCAGTCTTGCAAAGGCTAGAGAACCAAGTCCCTACATTTTTTTATGTTTTAAAGAAAACTAGATCAGAAATAAATAAAAGACCCTGGATCGTACATTGCATCAGGAGCAACCATTTATCACCCATAGGAGCAGGCATTAACTACTATCACAGAAACCTCGGCCCTGGAGCCTTGCATACTGCAACATTTACAGAAGGATTATCTACAGAAAGTGCTCCAGCTCTACCCCAACTACATATATGGGTGAGATCTAACTAATGACTATGCATATACAATGCCTATTATTGACTTCCAGAGTGTGCACACACTAAGACTGTAAATACATTTTTTGATTCAATTTTTTATTGTTTTTTCCTTTTTTTAAATTTTTTCAACTGGCAAGAAGCCTCACTCATATGGTTCCCTGGTGCAAAGTGCAATTAGAAACTAGAACTATTGACTGGGTCGGACTTGTTTGGGTCGCTTTATCATATTGTGGTGTATCATTAACAACGTGTGTTAGGAACAAGATAAGTTAACCATTCAGCATTTTCACATTCCTTTGACTATATCATGCAAATTATGTTAACTACTACCACTATTCAGTGTAAATAAGCACCAAGGATAGCCACGGTGGTTATGGTGGGATGTGGTATTGATAACGGATTGTATTAAACTACATGGATTTAACGGATTATCTGTTTTCTGGTATGGCAATAAATTCTCTGAACTAGTACTTATCTAGTGTTGAAGCGTGTACTTATATGGATGTATTTGGTATTTTTTAGAGTGCAGTATCATATTTGTATGGATATTTTTTGAGGTACTCGAAGTGGCCTACCTAGATACTTAGCACCTATTAAGATAGAAGAGTGCCTGTACACTTCTTTGTTTTCTAAAGAAAAGAAGAACAGATTTTGAGAGAGGGAGAGAAGAGTATACAATAGGACAGGGTTAGGCAACCTTCGGCACTCCAGATGTTTTGGACTACATCTCCCAAAATGCTCTTCTAGATATAGTGCTGGCAAAGCATCATGGGAGGTGATGTCCAAAACATCTGCAGTGCCGAAGGTTGCCTATCCCTGCAATAGGAGAAAGGTAAGTTCAGCATGACAGTGCCGCTTTAAGTTCTTTGGGGCCTATAATCAAGATAGGTAGGCTAACACTACAGCGTTAGGAAAACATGTTTATCTTCAAAACGCGATAGCATTCCTTTAAATAGCTTATAAGCCCGCAGACTAGACCGAAATCAGATGCCAAGTGGCTGACACAATTTTTTTTTTTTTGAATGCTTTATTTTTGCTTGCACAATGGAAAACAAAAACTCGTACAACGAAATCCCCAACACTCCACGTTACAAACACAGATTTCAAACTTATACATTACAATGGGTATGAGGGGCATGTAACATACCGTGCACATATTTACACCCTCCCAGAATACCAGGTTTTGTACAAAAGTAGTTGCGTGATCATTAGTAACCGGCCAGGCACTGCATCTCAGGGCTCCTGGTCAGCATTGAGCTTAGACTATGCTTGTTATGTCTTGTTTAGAATAGGTGGCTTATCTGTCTGGGCAGGCCTTACGTGGGGAGGCTTTGTGCCTCCTCCTGCCCGAGTGACGTATTGGAGTTCCATTATCCTGTCCCTATTGTATCGAGAGCCTCTGTGCCCCACCCCCATCCCTTCATTTCTCTCTATGTTTCGTTCCCTCTCCTGACGTTTGTTAATCATGTTGCTTTAAAACCTGGAGCATATGTCTCCGACATAGTACAGGAACCTTCCATAGCACTGAGGAGTGCCGGTATCACTCATAGGCCTGAGCATAGTGTTCGTAGTATTTTATTAATCTCAGCCTACAGTGGTCCCAGATTACCCTCCATGTGCGCCCCTGGGATTGCAGTGTCGTATTGGTCCAAAACTACCAACTTCATATTGGCATCTATCATCGATATACATTCTCATTGTACGGCTATGAATTTTAACTGTGTTCCGGGAGTGCTGGTGTGCATAGTGATGAATGCCCTGCAGACGAGGGCCTGCAAATAGAATAAAATATAGAGAAGAGCAGTAAAGAAGAGAACTATAGAAGAAGAATAGAAGAAGACGGGTCGCTGGGGGGGGAGGGGAGCACCGGGAAGGGAGAGAGCAAAGAGGCCGACGCGAGAGCCTACGTGTCCATAGGGCTACTGTCCCATGGTTCCTAAAGCTTGAGGAATGCCTTAGTGCAACCCCTCACCATAGCTGTCAGGTCGTCCATCAGACGAATCTCTTTAATCCGATTTAGTACGCTTGCAATGTGAGGCAATTCCTGTTTTAGCCATGTGTATGCTACAGCACTTCGTGCCGCTAATGTGATTTTGTGTAACAGCAGTTGTTCCGGCTGAAACAAATTTTAACATATTAATGCACCCTGTAATGAGAGACAATATCTACCATACCCGCTTACTGACAAGTATTTCATTTTTATTTTTTTAATTATATTTATCTAATATAATAAAAATGAAATAAAATATGGGTCTGCAAACAGACAAGGTCACACAGAACAGATATGGTAAGTTAAAGGAACAGTGCAAAATCCGAAGAAAATATGCCTTTAAATTCAGGGCCAATGTGGCCCCTAATTATTAATAAATTTTAAAAAAAAAAACACACTAGAATTCTAATATTTTGCATTGGATTTTAAATCGTATAATTACTAGGGCTTGAAATTTAAAGTTCTATACTACCTGTGAGGTCTTAAAAGTTACTTGCCACTGTAAGCCATAGCATGGTCACCTGGGGTGAATTTCTATTTGCCAGCGCTACGTTTGCACTCACCAATGGCCTTGTGTACAACAGACTAAAGAGAGGAAAGACTGGGATTGTTATGATCTGAACGGAGACATAAGAGCACAAAAGGTGCCTTGACGAAAATGGAGTACAGAAAATTAATGCAAAAATGATCTACTGAGAGAAAAATTATAGTGGCATCCCTTAATACCAAGTTCTGACAGAGTCTGTTGATTTAAAAGGTATTCCAGGACATCAAAAGGGTGAAGTGACAAAAGGGGTTATTTTACAATTTTCAAGGTAATTGTTACATAAAACAACAAGTGATATATATCTGCAGAGAAAAATATAGAAATTCGTTCCGGTAATAGGCTAAATATTTATTTTTAAAAAAAACAAAAAACATACCAAAAGGAATCTACACTTTAGAGACAGATTGCTATACAGTGTAAACCAACTCGAAGAATCGATTTCCTGTTGTCTGTTGCAGCACTCAATGAAAAATGTATAACAAATGCTAAAAGACGATTTATAGGCACTGTGCAATTAGGTATTTATCCAGTCTATTCATCACATAATCATGTCTTTGCAACTTTCGGTAAGTATGCTGCCCACTGCTAGATTATGATGATGCTTTAATGTCTGAACCAAAATAGACCCCAGCTGCAACATATCTCAGTGCTAACAATTCAAAGGACATAAATAAGGTCAATCAGTGCAGAGAATACGGTAAACGAACATTGAGATCTATGCTATATAATCAAACATGATACTGCATAACCTTCTTAACCCCTTAAGGACACATGTGACATGTCATGATTCCTTTTTATTCCAGAAGTTTGGTCCTTAAGGGGTTAAAATAGTACGAAAAGAAACAACCTTTACACTGCCTTCTTCCTGGTGTACTTACCATCCCTTCCTCCCGCTGCAAGTGCAAGGTAGCTAGTTTCGGCTGTAAATATACATACCTTACAGGTGTACCTCTGTCCCTCCCACCCTGGGGCTAAAAGTAAGTAGTATGTCCCCGTCCCATTATCTTTTTATTTCATTTAAACTACTATTTTTTACCAGTGCAAACAATAGCCTTGATAAGGTTATTGAACGGACTATCTAACATAAACACTCGTTGCATTAAGATGTTTAGTTTGCATAGGATGAATAACACCACGGCTGAATAGCAAATCGATTTCATGTTAGAAGATTAGGCCTTTCTAAACTACCCAAGGCAAAGAACACTCAGTCTGTGATCCCAATGAATTCTAATCTACTAAACAGATATAGGGGATTGCAAATACATGTGTATGCTTTTGCGTTTGTTTGTTTGTATTTTTCAAATCATGCCTAATATTTTGTCATCCACGTTTTAATGTTACATTTCTTATTACTGGAAGCTCAACGAAGCGTATAAAAACAATTTATTGTGTTTAAATGTATCATTACCTACTGTAAAAAAAAAAAAATAATAATTTTTTATAAATATTTACATTTTTTTTAAATTTATAATCTAGTTATACAGCACCAATCTATTCTGCAGTGTGGGACACGAGTGGTAAACAGTAGAAAACAAATCCTGTTTGCAAGCTTATAATATTTTTTTTTAAAAAGGGATATTTAGGGCCCAAACCTGGTAGAAAATATATTTGTTCGATATTTGCGCTATTTTTCCCTTCATCATATCCTGATCCTAGACAAATCTCCTTCAGTTGGTGTTAAAAATGTAAAAAAATAAATAAAAAAAAATTAAAAGAATAATCTAAATACTGTTTGCACAAAGTAACAGCAGTCTCTCCACAGGTAAGTGCTACTGGTAAAGAGCAGACAAAAATAATTACCAGACACATCTGACTGTAGAATGATATGTGGTAAATACTGGTTTATTACATACAAAAATACCTTAACATTATCAACAGCAATTGGATACTGCAATTATTGTTCTTCCTGTACGTTTCTACACATAAAAATACATGCAGTCAGTTGTCGATTTAATTATAGAACATATGCAACAAACCATTTTTTTTGCCAAGACAATAGAATAGTAAAACAACCAAAATATATTATTTTACGGGTGTAAAAGAATGAAGCCCTATTGGCGTTAGTATCGTAAAATATATTTATCAAATTTATCAGTTGCAAATGCTCTTTGATATGCTAGTTTCATTAAATATCTCCACTGTTACTTCGATTTCTAATTGCTATATATATATCACTTGGAAATGATCACTCCGAGATACAGAGGGAAGGAATATTTTTGTGCCATCTGGTCTGACTGGACCGATCCAAATATCTGTTACAGATTACTATCTAACTTCTTGGCAAGGTAGGATAATTGCAGTGGAAACTATACATGGTTTTATATGTACATCATTTGCTTTAACTATCCCATCGATCTCTTTCTATATGGTGCAACAAATGTAATCTTGATAATTATGATAATACTAAACACTGAAACTGGAGTTTTACTACGTCTTCTAAATGCCAAGCTCTTCCAGGATTGAAGGGTAATAATATAATACTACTCTAGAGAACTCTTGCTAAAAGTCAAATAAAATACCTAAAAGTGAGAATATGTCCACAAGACATTAATATAACAATATATATACATAAAATAAATTTTGTTTCAAATGCTTTCAGAAGGAAAACTTAGATACTGGTATAAACTCTATAAAATGTTATGGCGGTACTCCTGCATTGTAACAATTACTGCACGGTGGAGTTATTATGTTACTTATAGTGCACCTATCAAAAAAACATGAAAGAAAAAAAAGAAAAAAAATGTTGGCCAAATGCATAATGGTAAAAATGCATTATAAGTATCCAAATGAAAAATGCCCCTTAAAGGGACACCTTAGTCAGCAAAACAACTTTAGCTTAATGAAGCAGTTTTGGTATGTAGATCATGCCGCTGCAGTTTCACTGCTCAATTCTCTGCCATTTAGGAGTTAAATCACTTTGTTTATGAAGCCCTAGTCACACCTCCCTGCATGTGACTTACACAGCCTTCCAAAACTTCCTGCAAAGATTCATCAAATGTTTACACTTTCTGTATTGAAAATACTGTTTAATTTATATTTTCGTATCTCCTGCTCTGTTAATAGCTTTCTAGACCCTGCAGGAGCCTCTTGTATGTAATTACCTTTCAATTTACAGAGCAGGAAATAAAAACTTTTAAAGTAAGTTACAACTGATTAAAAGTTAAAACGATTTCTTTTCATGCAGGTTATGCGAGTCACAGTCAGTGGAAGTGTGGATATGCCTGCATAAACAGAAACAAAAGTGAGAGAACTCCTAAATGGTGGAGAATTGAGCGGTGAGACTTCAGGGAAGTTCTCCTGTATAATTTTCAGTATAAAAAGCTATGCAAAGGGGGGGCGAGACAGGGCCTGACGCCCAAGATGGCCGGACGTGTCTTCCACTAGCTCCAGAGGAATCAGGCTAAAACCCAGATATTGCGACAGAAAGGTCTAGTTTCTGGCTACCCCAAGCTACCAGCTGCTTAATAAACAAGTCCTGCACAAAGCTTGGACTAGTGACACCGCTACTCTGTTGCGGCCTGTTCAGACAGATGTGAATGCCGCAGTGAGAGGCGGCAGTACGGGCCAGTTACAGCTACATACTTAAAGCCCAGTTACATCCCCCTGGGCTGATGGGAGTCATCCCGGTCCCCATTAGGACAGTGGAAAACTGTACTTCAAGCTGACAAGCCTGCAATTCTTGAAACCGTGTGGTGCGACCAATATGGCCACTGTGCAGAACCCTCATCACGACCAGGCAGACCCACTGGACCAAAATTGGAAAAAGCACTTCCTTCAGAGATTTGATGCGGTCTGCCAAAAGTTCTGGAATCACACCTACAGCAGAGCCGCTATACTCACCCCACCTGCTGCATAGCCAATCCGGAGTGATGTTCCGGCTTCTTGTCTCTCTACTGGGCCGGAGACCCACGTGGAGGTGCCTCCAGCTCGTCGTCCACACACCTGGGGGATACTCTGCATTCCGGTGAACCCGCGGGCCCACGATTAGCCTGCAATAATTAAGAAGATTCGTGGACATGGAGCACGGGCTCCCAGACAGGCCAGGAGCCGAGAAGACACAGAGCTGCCGTCCTTCGGTACCAGATGTGCCGTGCAGCAGGATACCCAGCAACATCAAGCAAGCCTGATGGAAGAGAGAGGGGATTTGAAATAGTCATGGTACCTTGAGTCTGTATGTGCTGTGTTTTGATTTGAAATGCTGCACATACGGAGATTAATCCTTCTGCTGCCAAAGGCGCAATTCTGTGCAAAATTCACATCGGACTCCAGCATGCACAGCAGACAGCCAATGCCCAAACGTCTGTCCCTTCTGTACTGCTCCGATCCTCCGGCAGTCAATCCTCCCTCCCCACCCCCCATGAGGGGAATGATGTCAGCCAAGAAGTATCCGGCTGAAGGGGAGAACTTGGCCTCAGTGATGGAAACCAGGTATGTTTAAAGGACCACTATAGGCACCCAGACCCTGAGGGTGACCTAAAGACCCTATAGAGCCAGGAAAACAAGTTTGTTGTTTTCCTGGCACTACAGTGGTCCTTTAAGCTTTTTTTTATTTTTTTTTGCTATGCGTTTAGGGTGGGCTAAACACCATAGAAAGTGTTATGAAAACACTGTTTTTTGGTTGAAGTAACCCTTTAAGTCAAGTGTATTATTAAATACAGAATTAAACTGTTAACCAAATGCCCAAATTAAAGTTATAGTGACAACGTTTGTAGAAGAAAAATTAAATAGACAAAAAACAAACCAGTGATTTATATGCCAGTACTATTATAAACCTGTTTATTAAAAGGTTTTCATCAGGTATAGTCAGCTAAATACTAACAAATTATTTTATTTACTTTCACAATAGCCCGTTCTATTTTAAATATATATTTTGTCCACATCATTGGAGGAATCCGGACAATTTACATTTTCCTGCTTTTCCACATATAATAGCCTTCTGGTAAACGCTGCAGATTTTGTAACAGCTATAGATACTTGTTTGGTTATGATATTCCAATAACAACATAAATCATATGCTGACTTACTGATTACTGCAAAGAAGACAAGTAAAAAATGCAATCACAGTGTGCATAGTAGAAGTGGGGGAAGATTTTTTTTTATAATTTAAAAATATGAAGAATGATTTTTACCTACAAACAGCAGCATTGTACAATAAATCTCTTTCCTATTCACAACATACAATGATTTCTACCTCTATAGATCTCACACACAGCTTCACTTCATTACCTTGGACTGAAATGAGAATATAGAAGGCAAAGGAAAAGAAAAATAGTATTTCCTTGAAATAATATTTAAAGACTGCTTTATATTAATGACTTTCTGCACCAGTCCGCTTCATGCAAGTGATAACATAGCTTGAGAGTGCGTTAATTTGAAAGATGACAATAATCACGAAAGAGAGTTTACTACAAGGCAATCATTAGGGGGGAGGGTGGAATCTATATATTTTTATTAGATCACATATTAACAAACAACATCTATTTAAAATGCTGAAGGGTCATTCTAAGCACCATCATAACATTGCATTATCGCAAATTTGATCATGTACCCTGCAGTTACTCCCTTAAAACTGAAACGCTTTGTAAAACTTGCTGCATGTCTAAGCCTGCCTCTTAGAACTGTCAATCAGGAAGTCCATAATAATAAACCCTGCTTGCCTACATCAGTTTTGTCCAAGATGTGATTGCAACGTCTGCAGGCCGTACATACAGATTGGCCTAAAGTTTGACTAGGTCAGAATTCACATACATAGATTAAAGGATCACTATAGTGTCAGGAAAACAAATCGGTTTTCCTGACACTATAGTAGCCTGAGGGTGCCCCCAACCTCAGGGTACCCCTTCAGTTACTCACCTTATTCCACCGCCGGGCTCCCTTACCTCTCCTCCCCCGACGTCAGCGGAGCGGAATTCAAAGTGTCCATAGGAAACCAATTTTTAATGCTTTCCAAAGGACGGTCTGCGTGATGGAGGCATTAAATGCCTCCAGCGTCGCAGATGCGCCTCTAGTGGCTGTCCAGAAGACAGCCACTAGAGGCTGGCTTTACCCTAAATGTAAACATAGCAGTTTTCTGAAACTGGAATGGTTACAGCAGGCAGGGTTAACCCTAGATGGACCTGGCACCCAGACCACTTCATTGAGATGAAGTGGTCTGGGTGACTATAGTGTCCCTTTAAACCTCGGTATAAAACAACAGCAGTTGTGGTATGCAGTTAGTCCAATTAAACAATGATTCAACTGGGAAATTTTATTCATGAATAATATATGAATTGATGAATATCTTCATTATTTTTATTAATATTTTTAGATTTACATTTTGCCTTCTTTCAATGTATTATCAACATAATGCATTGAAAAATGGGGGTCCAGCACCAAAACAACTTTAACTTAAAGCGGCACAATACCTTTAGGTATACAAAACTTTATTCCTAACACTTTAGTGTCCCTCTGCCCTAAAGTTTTTGTGTGTGTCCCTCCCCAGTGTGGAAAGGGTTAAAAAAATATTTTAACACTTTTCTCTTTCCAGCGTTGGCCATGTCTCCTCTGACGTCGGCAATGGGGAGAAGCTAATAAACATGGATAAATTCATTGTATCAATGCTTTCCTATGGGGAATTTGAAGACGCTGGATATCTTCATGCAAAACGTGAGGACGTCCAGCGTCGTTGTTTCACAGAAATAAACTCCATGTAAATGTTAACAGTGCAGTTCTGAATAAGTAGGACATTCCGTACTAAGGTCTTTCGTGACCAATATGGAAGAAAACATGATATATCATTGATGTTAAGTGGTTTATAATTCCATCAATATCAATGCTGAAAATACACTTACAGCAGTGATTTTTTTTTTTCCCTCAGACTAATTGCTTATGGTTTTGCTTTTTAATTCAATGCAAATTGCTTTGCATCTGGTGATTCAGATGAGTGACCACATGCCCAGTGCAAGATAAATTTCATAACCGTAAACAGTTTTATTTATCATTATAAGAAGGGGAGAGTAGACAATGTTCTGTAACGGAATAATTGTTTGAGTTGTTCTCTTGCATGCTGTTAATGTTACCGTGGCATCAGTGGCAGAACTACCTCACCAGGGCCAATAGAATAAGGGCATACCACCGATGGCAAAATAGTTTTCAGGGGCCTGGTCAGGTGCCGCAGTCCTTTAAAAGCCTGACTGGGCACCTGAGATATCGGCAGCATGGCAGGAAATTACAGCCTATCACTTCCTCCCAGAGAACACAGAGCTCTGCGCAAGAGAGAGGCAGAGAGAAGGGGGCTCAGACTTGGAGATCATCTGACTCGACCCAAGGGAACTGGTATAATGGTCATAACAGGTTTGTATTTTTACAGGTCATTTTACCTGTGAGGTGTGCAGGATACAGAAAGCTCACATGATCCAGAGTACAGAGAGAAGGCATGGGATCAATGCTCCCACAATTCCCCCTGCTGCGTGGGTGGCTACCATCTATACTAGCAGTACATCAACAAGTATTGCCTTACTGCCCCATGGAGACTCACAGGAATATTTCTCCAATTATTTATTTTAACTTACTTGTACATTTTACACACCACATACAACCAGCACACACACACACATCGCACAAATCACACACAGCCAGCACACACCACGCATTCATTACATACATTCAGCACTCACCAACAACACATAGACAGCCAACACACATCACACATATAGTTGCAATTAAAATAACAACACTCATTGAAAAGCAGGATTATTGTCAAAATTTACAGACTTTCAGCTGTTTGCAATGAACAAGTCAACCAAGTCAACACAATGAATACTTTAAGTGTTTTCTCCAAATTTAACAGAAAATGCAACTTATAATGACTTCTCCAGTTTCAAAATTATTCAACAGCATATAATCCATCACAACAGCACAAATATGCAAAGCAGGTGTTGTCTCGGTGGCGGAGCTGGTATCATTCCCTGAGGTTGCCCGAATCTATATTTAATTCTGCCGAACAGACCCGTAACCCCTTTTCTGGAACCGAACAGAACTTGTGTGGTCCCCCTGTTTATTGACTTAGAACACTGACCACCCCTGGCTGTTAACCAGGGGCGTTTAGCCGCGAGGCAAACAAGGCATTTGCCTTGGGCGGCATTTTTCAGGGGGCGACAAAAAACGCTGCCCCCCAAATGCCCAGGGCAAATGCCTAGTTAGCCTCGCGGCTAACTGACATACCGGCCGGGCGGGCAGCGCTGGAGGATCTGAGCGCCGAGCAGAGTGAGGCTAGACCGCCTCAGGGGAAGCTCAGGGAAGAGCGCCAGCTGGCTGGACCAATGGAAATGGAACCCTCCCCAGCACTCCCAAAGGTAAGGAGGTTGGGGGGGAAAAGGTGAATACATTTTTTTTTTTTTAAAGTGTTAATGTGAGTGAGTGAGTGTCTGTTAATGTGTGTGTGTTTTTTAGTGTGTGTGTTTAACTGTGTGAGTGAGTGTGTCTGTTAGTGTGTGTCTGTTAGTGTGTATGTGTGTGTCTGACTGTGTGTAAGTGAGTGTGTGTGTGTCTGTTAGTGTGAGTGTCAGTGAGTGTGTGTTTGTTAGTGTGTGTGTCTGCTAGTGTGTGTGTGTGTGTCTGTTAGTGTGTGTTTCTGACTGTGTGTCAGTGAGTGTGTGTGTGTGTCAGTGAGTGTGTGTGTCTGACTGTGTGAGTGTGCCTAGGGCAGCACAAAACCAGGATACACCACTGCTGTTAACCGCAGTTAAAGAATTAACTCAAGTGGTTTCCCTGGGTGTTTTTTTGTCTCCTAAGCACAGGCAGCGGTACTTGGTCATTGAGTGTGTGGAACTAATTTCAGATACACTCGCGAACCCCTGTTAGTGTGGTACGACTGCCTGTATGACTTCCCGACCAACTAGACAAACCACGTTCAGGAGATAGGATCTACTGACTGGGAGGAGCATTCGCTACCTAAGAGCCAGGGAGAGCGTTCGTCGGTGTTCGTACAGGAACTTCTCCTGAATAGAGATTACGCTCCACCGAACCAATCTGAGCGCGTTTCGAATATGTTGGTCACTCAGACACAGGCTATTCAGGGATATAAGAATTGTGGTTATTCTGTAATGTTTTATTACTTTTTTTGGTGTTTTGTAATATTTTCTGTATTGCCTGTAACTGAGAGATAATTGAGTTATCATAATTCCTAGCTCAATTATCTCTCAGATCCAGAGACTCTTGTTAAAAACCACTGTAAATTTGCTATAGAGACCCCATACTATGGGGCTGTGCATTAAAAGCAATGTGCAGGCTAATAAAAACCAGTTGACTCCCAGAACTGTGTGTCATCCAGTTACTAGGGGAATGGGCTATAACCACTGAACAGCGGTTCTTTCCAGCTCCAGAGCATATCTTGTAACTTAGGATTGCAGCTCCGCTACAGTCTCAAGTACACCTGATGCAAACCAGGTGTGTTTAAACTTGAACACTTGATATACATGAACTGGCATGTGGTTTGTTGAGTGTCAAGTTTGACTGCATGTTGAGTGCAAGTTTGACCCTAAATTGTTGCAATGCATGCACATACATAGACATGTACATATGCTCCCCCTCTGACCACCACAACCATTCCCCAAATGTGTGCACGAGGATTAACACAGATATAATATATATATATATATATATATATATATATATATACACACACATCCTCAACACTTTTTAGGCATGCTGCAACAAACTTTGCACACCGGGACCTGGGTACTTTTTCTGCCAGAGATTCTCGATTGAGTTCACGTCCAGGCTGTTAATCGGCCACTCAAGGTCATTCACAGAGTTGTCCTTAAGCCACTTTTGTATTGTCTGCCTGTATTCTTAGAGTCACTGTCCTGTTGGAAGGTGAACCTTTGGCCCAATCTAAATTCTGAGCACTCTCAACCAGGTTTTCATTAAAGCGGCACAGAATTCACAAAGACCCCTGACGGCGACATTGCCGAGGTGGGGGGGGTGGCAAATAAGCTGAGTTTTACTTCCCTGAACCTGTCCATCGCAGGTGTTACCAGCTTTCTCAGACTGCTCCTTTTTGTGCCAAGAGCCAATGTCACTGCTGTACTCTCGCGCATGCGCAACAGTACAGCATTGAGGTCTATAGAGGATCCCGTGACGGCTGTGGGGATTGACACTTGACTCTTCCCTCAGTCTAAGAAAGTCAGGCAGAGAAGAAATACATAGACAAAGTAGTACTCTGTTTATCTCTTGACTAGGTTGGAATTTCTGTGATATTCCAATACAGTCATAATGAGTATTTCATAAAGATTCTATCTTTATGAAATACCAATTTTTCGGTGGAAGGGGGAAGTGACAGTGCCACTTTAAGAATATGTCTGTGAGATTCTTAAAACTAAATGATCGTCATATGAAACAGCATACCAAAGGGTTAAGTGTTACACAATAAGTCCAGCAACACCTTCTTTACGTCATGAAACTGTGAAAGACAGATAATGAACTAGTCAATAAAATTGTTTAGCTTTATACCACTCATTGGAATACATTGAATTAAATGCCCTGAAAAAACCCTGACGTTTTGCTTAATAAACAAAAAACTCTTTAATTGCACCAGAACTTTGTGCTTTCAATTACTTCTCCAGCTAGCTGTCTAAACAGATTGCCGCAAACTGTTACACTCTCCAGATGTAGGTGGTCGGCTGATCAAGGTATCAGGTGTAACCAAGGTGACCCTAATATGGTGGCTTCAAACTTCCTTCAACCTTGACACATCTACCAGCATCGCCATTCTACACCATTGGAATAGTATTGTGCCGATGATGAGCAGTGCCTAGTTTCCTCCAGACATGACATTTAGAATTGCGACCAAACATTTCAGTCTTCTTAACATGAGACCAGAAAATCTGGTTTCTCAAAGTATGAGAGGTTTAGGTGCTTTTTTGCTAATTCCGAGCATACTTTCATGTGTCTTGCAGTGAGTAGAGGCTTCCATCTGGTTTCTCCCATCTCCACAGCTCACCTATCATGTACTTAGTCTCCTCTTTTACCAATGCCTTTCTTCCTGACTGCTCAGTTTGGCAGGTCCACCAGCTCTAAGAAGAGTCCTGATTATTCCAAAAATGTTTGTAGCCTTCCTCACTCAGCTCTGTGACCAAACACAATCCTGTCTCTGAGCTCTACAGGTAATTGCCTTGACCTCATGGCTTGGATTTTGCTCTGACACGCATTTACAGCTGTGAGAATGCATGTAGACAGGTGCATAACCTTTCCAAATTATGTCCATTCAATTGAATTTGTCACAGGTGGACTCCAAAGTATACAAATATCTCAAAGATGGGATGCATCTAAGATAAAGTTTCATAACGAAGGGTCTAAATACTCATGTCATGATATTCTTTATTCTTTTTTAGAAGTTTTCAACATTTTCAAAAATCTGTTTTTGCTTTGTGATTATGGGTTACTGAGTGCAGATTTATGCGGGGGAAAAAAAACTAGTTAAACAATTGAAGCATAATAAAGTGAAAATAATGAAGGGGTCTGATTACTTTCTGAACACACAAACACACACCACCCCACCCACCCCCTGCATTAGGTCATCCTCGCCAGATGATGTTGGAGGTGGGAGGATGGGGAATGAGAGAGGGGGCACTATAGTTTCCCTTTAACAAGGGCTGGTAGCAGCTACAAATTACCACCAGATTTACCACTTTTTGGCAAAAATTTTATAGCCAATCACAAGTCCACTACAAATATTATCATCAACTCAAAAATTAGTGGCTGGAGGGTAAATTACATGAACACCGGCTGGTAATACTTACTGGGTTATTCAAAGTATATTTCAAAGTTCACGTGAAAGTAGCTGAAGTGGAAGCATTGCCGACTTGAAGAAATGTTTCCAGATTGGCTGTTTTGGCCTTAAATTGGCACTTCATCCACCTGACAAATTAGTATTTCATGAAGATAGAATCTCCTTTTAATTTTTTTTTCGAATTTCGCTGAAAATACAATCCAGACCTCACGCACACACAAGTACAGCAGTGATGTCGACTCCTGGCGCAGAGCAGGAGGAAGATAGCAGCACCCATGAGTTCAGGCAAGTAAATTTCACCTTTACCTGTCCCCCCCTCCCGGCGACCAGACACCCAGCGGCAATGTCACCGTTGGGGTTTCTTCGCGAACTAAGCAAAGTCCAAAGACTGTGACAGTGCTTCTTTAAATTTGAAATTCACTTTGAATGGTCTTTCAATTTCCAACAATTATCATTTAATTGTGACAAGTCTGGTACAAGACATTTTGTTTTAATAGGATGTATAAAGTGTAATTATTTTTGGTGGCCATGAAATTTCTGAATACATATCTGTACTGGGATTGCTAAACTGACCTGTGTCAAAATGTTGGGAACACTAAGCAGCTCCTCTCCCTCTCTACTACACATTGAGACTGAGTAAACTGACAGTACAGAATCTGCAAACATATGGCTGTCTTGTGAACCACGCAATCACTGGAACATGGCTCTCACAGAATATGTGCGTTCAGTCTTAGAAGATCGACTCTACAAAGTATCCAAAAAGAATGCAAATACGGTCACTCATCCTCCCCCTCCCCCCAAAAAAAACAACTGATGAGCCGGATATCTTTTATATGTTAAAGGAACACTATAGTCACCTAAATTACTTTAGGTAAATAAATCAGTTTTAGTGTATAAATCATTCCCCTGCAATTTCACTGCTCAATTCACTGTCATTTAGGAGTTAAATCACTTTGTTTCTGTTTATGCAGCCCTAGCCACACCTCCCCTGGATTTGATTGACAGAGCCTGCATGAAAAAAAAAAAAAACTGGTTTCACTTTCAAACAGATGTAATTTACCTTAAAGGACCACTATAGGCACCCAGACCACTTACTTAAGTGGTCTGGGGGCCAGGTCCAGCTAGGTTTAACCCTTTTTTCTATAAACATAGCAGTTTCAGAGAAACTGCTATGTTTATAAATGGGTTAAAATCAGCCTCTAGTGGCTGTCTCATTGTCAGCCGCTAGAGGGCTTCCGCGCTTCTCACTGTGATTTTCACAGTGAGAAGACGCCAGCGTCCATAGGAAAGCATTGTGAATGCTTTCCTATGGACTGGCTGAATGCGTGCGCGCTCCTGCGCATTCACCGAAGAGGAGGAGAGGAGGAGGAGAGCTCCCCGCCCGGCGCTGGAGAAAGAGGTAAGTTTAACCCCTTCCTCTCCATCCAGCCCGGCGGGAGGGGGACCCTGAGGGTGGGGGCACCCTCAGGGCAATATAGTGCCAGGAAAACGAGTATGTTTTCCTGGCACTATAGTGGTCCTTTAAATAATTGTATCACAATCTCCAAATCGAACATTAATCACATACAGGAGGCTCTTGCAGGGTCTAGCAAGCTATTAGCATAGCAGGGGATAAGAAAATCTTAGTTAAACAGAACTTGCAATAAAGAAAGCCTAAATAGGGCTCTCTTTACAGGAAGTGTTTATGGAAGGCTGAGCAAGGCACATGCAGGGAGGTGTGACTAGGGTTCATAAACAAAGGGATTTAACTTCTAAATGGCAGAGCAGTGAGGCTGCAGGGGCATGTTCTATACACCAAAACTGCTTCATCAAGCTAAAGTTGTTCAGGTGACTATAGTGTCCCTTTAAACTTGTGTTGGAATTCCACATGTTGTTGTGGCACACATCTCTCAGACAAGACCAAGTGCACTCTGTCAATGGAGAAACATGTCTGGTACATTCTGACTTTTGTGAACAATTTTCAGTGACTTTGTTGTCATGTCATTCATCATACAAGGCTTACTAAATTGAGTTGTTGTGCATACTTTCTAATATATGTTTTCAGTAGAGAGAGATCTAGTTTCATTTTCTTCTGATATATATGTAAAAGTAATGCACCCATTGTACAGCGCTATGGAATCTGATGGCGCTATATAAATAATAAAATAATGATAAAATAATTATGTTTTTTTTTTTTTAATCATGCTTCAGTAAACACAAGGTCAATTACACTAAAATATACATAGATTTAGTATAACCAGAGATTAATTAAACTACCTATAAACATTTCCTAATTTTACATGTCTTTAGTCACCACAAAAACTGCAGGTATTTCAGCAGGTAAGTTTTGAAAAAGGTAGAGAATAAATCAACATTCAAATGTACCCCGTAAGCTATTTCTACATGGCTTACTTTATTTCTAAGTACTATAAATTTACATTTATAAAAAGGTGCCATCATATTCCGCAGCACTGGACAATACCTGATATTAGGATACCATAAAACAGCGAACAAATAGACACACTGCTACAAATGTACTAAGGACCCTGTTCAAACTAACCTGCAATCTATTGTTCTGTCCAATGTAATTTGCCAATTATAAACAGTTTTCTACATCCACAGAGGGAGTGTAAAGCACTGGGGAATATGCTGGAGCTATATACATGATGATAATGAAAACAGTAAAAACAGAAGAAGAATAGTTAAAATAAACATAGAGACAGAGCAGATGGCCCAATACACCATGGGTGGACATACTGGTGTGACATGTAGTAAGCTGTAGCTTTTCATACCTGACTCCCTGGTACCCCCTCGTTGCCCCTGGTAACCACAGCACCCAGGTCTTCTGAGAGCTCTATATGTTTAAATGAAACGTTGCTGTAATGAGATCATGTGACGGTGTGGCCAATCCATAGCTCGGATACAGGACACAGTGTGACAAGATCTTTCCGGATTCGTATACAGAGCAATGGGGTAGGGGGAAGTAACAGGAAGTGCTGGGGTTATTTGGCTGATGGCGGAAGTAGGTAGGAGTTTAAACAGCATTGGTGCAAGACATTTTGTGCTTTTGTCATCATTTCAGCTGAGAGTGGGTTCCGTGTTCTGATAGAGAATGCTGAGCTTTGCATTGGAACTGCCTTGTGTATACATTGTATCTGGAGTTCGAAAGGGATTCCATCAGAGTGCTGTGTGTGGTTCTAGCGATGGCTGGCCTGTGATTTATGTCAAATGTTAGTGATGGAAACTTGAGGGGTTATAGTAAGATTGCCAAATTAATGTACACCTATGTGTTTTGCTTGCTGGCGCAAAGGACGTGAAATTGCTGACTTGCAGTCATACATGTTTTGCGGGGAGGAACCCAATTCATTATTCAAGTGAGAAAACTAAAAGAAACGACCGTGATTAGTTCATTGAAGAGGCATACGGAACACCATAACCATTGCAGCATGCTATGGTTATGGTGCAAGAGTCCCCTGTGCAGTCTTAGTAATGAAGGAATATTAAAAAAAAAAAGCTTTTAAGAAAATGTATTACAATTACCTGTGTCCAGCACTTCACTCTGCAACCCTATCTCAGAAATCACATTTTTTACATTGTCCAAGAAAGGGTTACTACAAGCACCATGACCACTTCAAGTGGAAGTGGAAAAGCATTGGATTGGTTGAGATCATCAAGATTAATGATCTCCGCCATGGAGGCGGGTCCAGTTGCGACATGGGAGAAAAGGTAATATCACCTTTTTACTGAGATTGGAGGGGGACACCAAAACAACCACTCTAGAACTAGGAATACATGTTTACATACAAAGTCAAGCCATGGTGCTGATCCTGGTCTACAGCCAGCCACTGATGCCGAGGAGGGAGAACTTAGTCGGAGGGAAAGAAACAATTCAGCTCCTTATCTACCCCACTAGAGGTCCTCACCCCACTACTTAAGCTCCTAGACCGCTCACTTCAGTCTCCTACACCCCCATACTAGTGATCCTAACCCCTCACTACTGCCTCTGTCCCTTATCCCCACTTTAGCTTCTAACTCCCACTACAGCTCCTATGTCCCACTACAGCTTCTAACCCTCTACCCTCTAGTACAGCCCCTGTCCCCCTTTACAGCCCGTAACAACCACTGCAGCCCCTATACCTGACTGCAGCTTCTAACCCATCACTAGTGCCCCTAAACCCACTATAGACCATAGCTTTTCTCTACTGCCCCCATCCTTTGCTACTGTCCCAACCTCATCACTACTGCCCCTATTTACTGACCACCTGTTTATGGCCTCTCCAGGTTTACAAAACCACAATAATAAAATGCCTATAGTAGACAGACCTAACTGAATTGAAGATGTAGCCTATCAAAACGACCCTTCTTTTTGTAGGGATTTATAAGAGGTATGGATATGAACAACTTTTCAGTTTCCTCCATTTGAACAACAATGCCTAGTGCCCCCGTATAAATGACCCCTTGCTACACAACATATGGTCCCTGATCAAAATAGACATGTCCATGCCAGTGTCCTGCAAAAGAAGTGATGCACAAATAGAAAAATCAAAGTGCATTGTTGAGTATATCAAACATATGGGGGGAGTAGATTTGGCTGATCCGTGCATTCAACCATATCTGGTTCACTGCAAGACTAAAACCTGGTACAAAAAAGTTACCATATACCTATAAAAAAAATCAGGCATAGGGAAGCCTTACACTTTCCTGGAATGTTCAAGGGTGTTTGCAGATATTATGTTTATCTAACCCCCTCCAACATTTGAACCAGAAGATATCCAGGGACTTTGTGGCAGAAACTTTCCTTGTCGAAATCTCCTCGCAATAAGTCATAATGAGTTAGGACAGATCCTACATACTATTGCATTTCATGTTCATGCCTACCTGGCCTGTTTGTCTCTGATTATTTCAGTGTACTATACAGAGTTAAACAATTAAGTCAACATATGTGACGTGACTTACTGGTTAATGGTTATTCTGGATTCCTGACCTCAGCTGTCCTGATTGCTCATTGTGTCAGCTGTCTGTACAGACTTATTGTCTGCCGATAACAACTACTCTGATTCCTGGATCCCCTGTCCTTGGCTTGTAGCTGTTTAAATTAAGCCCAGAGACTCTAAGGTCATTATAAAGTGGTTACACCAAACAACTCAAACCCCCTCCCACCCCCCTTCCATTTGAAATATACTGGGTATCGGTTGAATACTTTGGAAAATGGTATGCCATCAAGGGGATAACTTACTTTCTAAGGTTGCTATACTGTCTCAAAGATGACATAGGCCCAGAAACGTTAAAAAATATTGTGGCTTTATTAAAATAACATGTATCAGAATTATGAAATTTCCTGTAAAAACTGAAGTAGAGAGAGAGAGAGTGTGTGTGTGTGTATGTATGTGTGTGTATATATATATATATATATATATATATATATATATATATATATATATATATAAAGCCAGAGAATTAAGCAGTGATACTGCCGGGAATGATATATACACTGTTTCACTTTGGGGGGGAAAAAGTTTCATTATAATCCTACAATGCTCCCCAACTTTCTCAGATCCAGCAATGACATGCACCACCTGAACGCAAACACTGGCTGAACCTGGATCACTCCACATTTTAGGGGACTACCCATTTACATCTATACATGTGGGTCCCACAGATTCACACACCTTTACCCCCGATCACAATGCTATTATTCATTTTTCTCAATTTATGGATCCAACTCAAATAAAATATTTGAGCTTTCTTCCTTCCTCTCCCCCCTCATACCGATACTCCCTTCTGGTCTTGTCCATCGTAATTTTGCACATTATAAGGACAGGGAAATAACCAGGTTGACGCATTTCTATCACCAATCTCAAATCATAGAGTATACAGACTATCCTAACGATGCAGATCTCACCATGTCAGATTTGTTTTGCTTCATACAATTTCAAGACATAGCTGCATCTCCAATAGTTAAACAGGTAGGCACGACCTATCCTACACCCTTTGAAAGATACTGTCTCTTGACACCGGTGTAGAAGGGGAAAACTTCCACCCTATAGATCACGTTAGCAACGCACCCCACACAAATTATACTGCCATACATAATAGTGTGGGAATTAGACATATGCCTCCCTGAAGAATTGAGCAATAGGTTTGAAATCTGGAAATATATTGGGTTGCTAACCATTTGTGTTACATGCAAACAAGGTGCAAACAAGGTGCTTTTTACTAACTCCCACCGTCCCATGAGCTCAACAGCAGAAACCCTAGGGCCCCTGACCTTTTGGGTTAGACCAAGAGAGAAGGAGAGGAAGATAGACAAGGACAGCAGAGATCAGAGAAAAGAACTAAGGAAAATAAAGGTGAAAAAGGCTAGCAAGTTAGTGGGAGAAGATTTGGAGGAATCCAGACCTCTCCCCCAGACAGAGAGAGAGGAGAACAGCCAAAGAAGCCACCTATCGGAGTATTGGCCAATTGCAGACAGTAGGCAGCGCTAAAATCCCTGGATGGGATAAACAATCATAACTTAACAGCTCCCTCACTCCCCCCACGGTCCCGGTGTTTTCCAGCCAGGAATACGCGTACACTTGCCTTTCACCAACCCCGCCGGTTGGTCCACACACACTATCCAACCCACCTAAGGTGCCCCAATTGACATTAGATTCAACAGCCAACTAAACCCGTTACCCCTTCCCCCAAATCACTCCCCCCTCCACATGGTCCCAATTCAATCCTCCCGGGGTACGTAAAGCAACTTCCCACTGTTCGGGAAGTGTGACCTGTACGCGATCAATGATCCGAGTCCTATTGCCCGTTATTTAAGATGTTTTAGATTCTGAAATAAGCATAAGTCCTATCAGTTTAATAGACCACATCTCACGTCAGGCTTAGAAACTTACGCTAGGCGTAGTCAAGGAGGGACTATCCCTAGAGGGGTGTCCAGTGCCAAGAAGATGAGAGGCAGGTGTATAACCCTTAATCGTATTACTACCCCAACGCCTAATTTAGAAATCCTGTCCCTTCCCCCCTGTGACAAACTCCCCTCTCCAAGTGAGTTTGCCACGAGCTCCTGGAGGAGCCTGCTTGCCAGCCTCCTGCCCACAGACTATGAGCCCTGCATGGAAACCTGTAAAAGACTACCGAAGTTGAGCGACCGTTAGCACTGATTTCATGGAACTGTTTTGGGCATAGGACCATGCGCACGGTCGGTCAAAATTAGGACTTCCATGGAAATCCCGAACCCCTGAACCAACCTGGGTGATTTTTGGATATGTTCGCCCCCCAGATCGGTGCGATCAGGGGATATTTTTGTGGGGTTTCCATGTGTTTAAGGGGTACTTTTGGGGTGTTGTTGTATTGCATATTTTTTCTGTGCTTGGAGATAATTGGATTAGATTAATACAGTTCCTGATCCAATTGTCTCCAATGCACAGAGGACGGATTATCTAATTGTATATGGTAGTGTCATGTATTTAAACAAATTTTTCATTGTTCTGTGACTTTGTGCTGCAGTCCCCCACAAAGTCCGCGGGGGGTGCCCCTTGCATGGGGACATGCATATAAGGCCAGTTGTGGCTGCCATTAAATGATTCAAGCTTGCACTCCAAAACTGTGTGTCTTCCTGTTATTGGAGGGAAGGAAGGATTTAACTCCTATGTCTGCTGTTCCAACTTGCAAGGGAATCAACAGGGAAAGTCCTTGTAAGGACTAGAGCTCCCAGGACAGAGTGTCGGCCAATGCCTGGGGGTGTCTAGAGCAAATTGTCCATCCGGCCCCAGGAAAGAGTGGTTCCAGGGCCCCAGTCAAGCCACGGCGACTGTGGGCAGAAGTGCTGCGGTTTGTCCCCTGTTCTAGCTAGGAAGCAGTCCTTGGTGGAGGTACCCAGCCGTGGTACAGGCGCTGAACATTCACCTGCCCCTGTTTGTTTTTTTTCCTTCCCCCTCCCCCTTTTGTGCGTCCCCTGCAAGTTACGCCATATCGCATCATGCTACCCTAATATATCCATACAGTGTGACATAAATCAATACACAACTGCTCATTAGCAAACCATACAGAAGGAAAAGGAGTACAGAGGTGAGGATTGCATGTATAAGGCATTAGCCCCAGCGCTGTATCTAACGCGAGCCTGACAAGGCATTTGCCTTGGATGGTACTTTAAAGGGGGCCGGCAAAAAAGGCCACACCCCAAATGCCCTGGCATCTCTTCAGGAGGAGGCGGGCGGCGAGGAAGCACTGTCCTCTGAGCTCTTTCTGCTACGCTCCCTCACGCGTACCGCACTGATGCCGGAGCCGGAATACGATGTCACTCCGGCCCGGTATCACTAAGAGGCATGCGAGGGAGCTGAGCAGGAGGATTAGCGCTCTCACGCCGCCCCCACCTCCACCATTTGCCTGCTCGACCGCCCACGCCTGCCGAGTCAGCACCACTGGACCCAATAGGGGAACATTACACAGCAAATTAAAAATTAAGTAAAAAAAATTGTAAGTATGTTTGTGTGAGTTAGTGTGTTAGTGTGTCTGTTAGTGAGAGTGTATATGTGTCTGTCACTGAGAGTGTGTCTGTCAGTGTGTGCATGTGTGTATGCGTTTCTGTCAGTGTATGTTTGCGTGTCTGTTAGTGTGTGTAATTGTGTCTGTCAGTCTGTGTCTGTCAGTGAATGTGTGTGTCTGACACTGAGTGTATATATGTCTGTCAGTAAGTGTGTATGTATGTTTGTCAGTGAGTATATGTGTGTTTCAGTGTGTGTGGGTCTGACACTGAGTTTGCATCTGTCAGTGTGTATGCATTTCTGTCAGTGAGTGTGTCTGTTGGTGAATGCATGTCTGTCACTGTATATGTGTGTCTGTCTGTGAGTGTGTGTAACTGTGAATGTGTGTGTTGGTTAAACAGTGTGTGTGACAATGACTGTGTATCTGTATGTGAGTGTATGTCAGTGCATGCATCAGTGAGGGCGTGTGTTTGTCAGGAAGAGAAATTTGGAGGTGGGGGTGCCCGAGTGTTGTCGTTTCTAGGGCTGCACAAAACCAGAATAAATCACTGCTTAGCCTGATATGGTGAAACTATCAAGCTCAGGGCTTCAAAGTGATACGAGGGGTCACCCTAGCTTCCTCAGGAGATATCTGTTAGCTTCCGCTGGTCCCGCCAATCCCCCCGAACAAAGCTCACATATCCTCCATACTCTTTCCCACAGATGCAGAGGTCTCGTTCTAGGAGGGAGCAACGGCCCAAGCATATCCGTGAACAGAGCTCATATTCCTCTCTCACGGCAAGCAGTTAGGCCCCCCAAAAAAATTCCCTGCCCAAAACCCTAACTATAAGGAAGAATAAATCTGCAGATCCCTACCCAACAATGTCCTAATGGAGACCACCTGAGGTATTAACAATGGGGTGTGTGCAGTCCACGTCCGGCGGGTTCCTCCAACCGGGCCAAGGCAAGCTGGTCACCTAAGTGTGAGGAGTCAGAAAGTCCACTGTCTCTGGGGCCTCGACCCCAAGACCCCCAGGGCCCAATTGGCAATCGTCACAGGCAGCAGGCCCAGCTTCCCCAGGAACTGAGGTACCTCCTTGGACCAGCGAACAGAGGCCCAGCCATCCCGACTGCGTGCTAGTAAAGCAAAAGGGAATCCCCATCTGTAGACAATATTGCGTTCTCGTAGTGCCGACATCACCGGCCATAGAGCCCGTCTATAGGTAATTATATAAGGACACCTGGGCGTCTCGGTAATTCCATATCGGCCTGTCACAGGCTTTTCTCACAATATCCTCCTTCCCAGGATAGGAGTGGAGACAGCAGATCAGGTCTTTCGGACCCTCTTCCAAAGAGCGCAGTAGCAAGGCTCTATGGGCTCTCTCGTATTCAAAGCGTTGAGGGTCTTCACCCTGTAGGAGTAAGCGGTAAAGACCGGAGAGCACCTCCTCAACGTTTTCCTCCGGCATCCCACGGACATGAATGTTGCACTTACGGTCCCTATTGTCCATGTCTTCCAGGGATCTCCTTATAGCCAGGAGCATCTCCCACTGTCTTGACACCGCCGTGTCAGTTGCCACAATCCTTTTGGACTGGGCTTCGGCTGACAATGCTCCAATGCTTGAATGCGGCCTGCCCACATGGCCACCGCCGTCCGGATGCCCGCCATCTCCGCTCGCAGCGTGTCTTGAATGGTGGTAGTGAGGGTGAGTAGGTCAGCCTTGGTGGCCATGGAGGCTGCCATATTCCTCAGTTCCTCCCCAATACTATCTAAAGCATGGAATTCCAAACCTGCCAGGGAGGCCGGTGAGGACAGTGCCATCTTAGGGCTCTTGGCCTCTCTACTCACGCCTTGCTGGAATTGAAGAAAGCCATCCATGTGGCCCAGTTGGGGTGAGCCCCTCTGGGTCTGGGGGGTTCCGGGCGCTTGGTATGTCCCATTAGCTTAGTGTAGCTCGGTTTAGTGTGCTTATTAGGGGGTCGTGGAGCAGAGCTCATAGATTATGCGGCCATCTTGATCAGAGCCCAAACCACGCCCCAGATATATCCCATCTTGAACCTTTCCTAGACAAAGATAATTGCATCCTCTTATGAAATTGGTTTCTCCCCTACCCAGTCATCTCCTGCCCCCTTTATCCCCAGACAAACCACTTCTACCTCTAAACCTTCCATCTTTTACACCACTCTAACCCCCTTTCGTCCTCTTTACAACACTTTCTTCTCGGACATGTAAATAGTTTGGTCCTTTGCCTTCCCTTTTAACCCTTCTCCACCTACCCGTTTGACAGGGACCAAGACCAAATTCAAAAACAAACTACCCTGGACAATAGGTAGTCAACATAAAATAAACTCCTTCAGAGAACCCCCGGAGACCAAACACGCAACATCTACCTGTTCAGTACCCTTCTTTAGTATTGATCCTCAATTCCCCAGAACTAAACTTGTGCAGAAATTAATGCAGTAATTTCAAAAAAGGATGAGATTTAACAACTGTATTCCTCAGTGCTTAGCTTGTGCAGAGTGCATATTTTCTCTGACTGCATTCGGTTTGAAATGTTTGATGTCAAAGTTAAAAATGGGGAATTATTCATACAGTCAAATTACCTTTTAATATTCTTTATCGTCCATGTTACCAAACTGTGATAGAATCGCCACATTTATTTTGAGTATCGTTCCTTCTTCTATTGTTGTGTATTTAACAATTGTTAAACTTAAAGAATTTAAAAAACCAAAACAAACTAAACAACATAGAATACAAAGAGTCTGTCATCGAGTTAGCTTGGCAGAAAACACTGAAAGTCAGAGGTCCATCTATACCCACAAAAAGTGCAACAGAAAAAAAAGAGTGCCAGTTTGTGCCTTTGAAAACAAGGTGTACAATAACATGTATATAATGAGACATACAAGAAAGAGAAAAGAGTCCAAATCCTGAAATAGGGTCTCGATCCTTAGACCTCAGTATTATGGTATATACTCCTATGACAAAACCGAAAGAAAAGAATCCTGTGGTGTAGTATGTTAGCTATAAAAAAAAGGATTTAGAAAAGGCAGAGCTTCATACAAGCTCAAGTGATGATAGCATTAAGCAGAGTAATCCTCGCTGTCGGATATGTTGTCACCGATATCTTCAGTAGGTCCAGAACAATATGTAATGACTAGAAAAAAAGACAAAAGACTCCAATAGTATAATAATTCCAAAAATTAAGGTAAAACTATAATAAGAGTAAAACACACTCACAAGTATGGAGCATTTTACAAGCTTAGGATACACAGCATATAACGTTACTCGCCTCAGGATTTGGTATTTATTACAGTGTCTCCAAATGTTGGTCACATATGAAATAGAAAAATAATATATATAATGCTGTAACTACTCACTTGACTGTGTAATCAAAATTAAGGAATACTACTCACAACTTTAGGAGCATATACCTTGCTCTGTAAAATCACAGTGAGTGGTACAATAGCCCCCAATGAGAGTATTCCCAGGCTCCAAATAGTGTTACTTAAATGCATCCAAGTAAAAGCAACCAGGAACAGAATCAAACCAGGAGGTATATGATCCACAGAAAAATGTATTATAACTGCATACCCCACTATATAAAATAGCAGATAAAAGCATAAATCAAAAAAGTCTCCCAAAGTGTTTCAAGGGTAGCAAAAACTGTGAAAAGTTATACAACAAAATACAAGTGTCCAATGTCGGGGTGTCAACGCATGGGCGATGTTACTGGAATTCTAGGCTTTTTTCATATACTGGGTACAATATATTGATATAATACAATACAATGTATTAAAGTCTTACATAGCTTGATGCTTTCTGATTTACCTTTATTACAGAATCATGCGAATAAATGAAGACACAGTGCTGAGAGGCCAGCGAGTGCTGCTGGTGCCTTATGAACCTCATCATGTGCCCAGGTATTTTTGAAACTCAAATAAGAAATTTAATTACACAACATTAGAGTTGAACAGTTGCAGCATGAAGATTGTTAAAGGAATACTTCCAACACCATATCCACTGCAACATGTTGTAGTGGTTATGGTGCCAGTAGTGCCCTGGCCTTGTAATTGGTGTTAAATGCCACCTATTTAGAATCTTGTAATTGGTTTCCATTATAATTAAGGCAATGGATTGATGAGTTTGCGGTTTGTAATGCAGCATACCACTCTGTGATAATTTTTTTTTTTGAGATCTCTAGTCCACCTATCTTTTGCCTTGGGGATAGTGATACCCTTAATAGCTTGTATTATAACTATACATTTCAAAAGTGATTTTGTATCCTTTCCAAGTTCAATAATATTGCTTAATTTGTCCACTATTTCATTAAAAATGTTTCTATATAATGAGGTCTTTAAACTTTTAAATCTAATATTTAAATATCTCCTGCTGTGGAATATTATACAATTTCTGAAAATTTTGAAAGGTTTTTAAGCTTGATTGATTCCAGAGTGACAAATCCAAATTTTCTAACATATTCATCAAGTGTGTAAGCAGAAGAGAGGGCAATATTTTATTATCTAGACTTACATCTCTTTTAAAAAGATTACAAAAGTTAAAGAGATTTTGCAATATTATATTTCCTACCTCGTTCAGGCAATTTTTCTTCAAACATTTAACTGGCCAAAGATAATTTATCAAGTTGAAAGGGGATTTAAAGGACCACTATAGTGCCAGGAAAACATACTCGTTTTCCTGGCACTATAGTGCCCTGAGGGTGCCCCCACCCTCAGGGACCCCCTCCCGCCCGGCTCTGGAAAGGGGAAAGGGGTTAAAACTTACCTTTTTCCAGCGCTGGGCGGGGAGCTCTCCTCTTCCGATCCTCCTCCTGGGCTGAATGCGCACGCGCGGCAAGAGCTGCACGCGCATTCAGCCCGTCGCATAGGAAATCATTTACAATGCTTTCCTATGGACGCTTGCGTGCTCTCACTGTGAAAATCACAGTGAGAAGCACGCAAGCGCCTCTAGTGGCTGTCAATGAGACAGCCACTAGAGGATTATGGGGAAGGCTTAACCCATTAATAAACATAGCAGTTTCTCTGAAACTGCTATGTTTATAAAAAAAATGGGTTAACCCTAGAAGGACCTGGCACCCAGACCACTTCATTAAGCTGAAGTGGTCTGGGTGCCTAGAGTGGTCCTTTAATACTATGTGCTTCCATCTCATACCATCTTTGGGATTTGTAGTTGTCAAGGTGCATAAGTACTAACTGCATTAACAAGCCGGCTCTATAGTATAGATCGATGTTTACAAAGCCAATCCCTCCCTGTTTCTGGTGTAGTAAATTAGCACTTATCCTAGGACTTTTATTTAGCCAAATATATTTTGAGAAGGCTGTGTGTACCATCTTTAGCCAAGGTGTGGGCACTTTTAGGGGAACCATTCTGAAAAGATATATAAATTTCGGCACCACATGAGATTTTAAGGTGTTAACTCTTCCCCACCAGGAGATCTCCATATTCTTCCATATTTTTAAAAGGTGGTTAGTTTCTCTTAGCAGAGATAAAAAAATTTTTTACTTGCATTAGTTCATTAGGGTTTGCTATTATGTTGATACCTAAATATCTATATTTTTTCTTTACCCATTTAAAGCAAAAATTACTATCAAGATATTTTATTTCTTGTTTGTCCATATAAAATGGCATAGCTGTTGTTTTCTCCACATTTAATTTATAGTTTGACAAAAGACTGTAGTTCTGTATTACTGTCATGACATTGTTAACTGAAGAAGACAGGTTGGCCATCAAAAGGAGTGTGTCATCTGCATGTTGGAATATTATAATTTCTGTTTCTTTTAACTTAAAGCCCTGTATATTTGGATTTGTCCTTATATCCATGGCCAAAGGTTCTGGGGCAATTACATAAAGCAGCGGAGAAAGAGGGCATCCCTGATGGGTTCCATTGGTAATTTCAAACCAGTATAAGAGAAGAATACATTGCTGAAATAGCTGATAGAATTTTCCGCGAAAATCCAAAAGCCTTTAGTGTGTATTTAATAAAGTTCCAATTGACCCTATCAAAGACTTTTTCTCCATCTAAAGCCAAGCCTAGAAAAGGAACTTTAGATGCATGAATTCTTTGATATATATTTAGAATTTTTCTAATATGATTGGTAGAAGATCTGACAGGGATGAATCCTACTTGGTCAGGAGAAAAGTGTTGTAATAACTTTTTTAATTCTACCAGCTAATATAGTTACATATATTTTGTAATCAATATTGAGTAATGCTAATGGACGATAATTTACTAATTACGTTGGGATTTTATCTTGTTTAAGGACAGGAAACAAATTTGCGTTCAGCATTTCTTTTGGCATAGATCCTTTCATCATTAAAAAAGTTATACATTTCCGCTAAATGCAGACTTAATTGATCTTTATATAATCTATAAAATAAGTCGATATATCCATCAGGTCCGGGAGATTTCTTTCTTTTAAGATTATTAATAATAGCACTTACTTCTTCTGATGTTATAGGTTCATTAGGTTGTGTTAATTGTTGTTGATTTAAAGACAGAAACTATTTATTTTGAAAATAGGCTTCTAATTGAATATGAGAGGTATGATCTGGCAAATTATACAGTTCCAATTTCTTTTGTTGCTAGAAGAATCTGTTGTCCTATAATTATCTTATTTATATTATTTTCTGCGCGTCTAGCTTTAATTTTGTTGGTTAGTAGTTTATCTGCCTTATTGCCTCTATAGTAAAAATTTGATTTTAGAATGTCTAAATTTTTATTGGCTCTAGTTATTAATTGTTTGTTAATTTTAGATTTGACTTCTGTTATCTGTAATCTCTTTTGAAGGTGTAGATTTATTTTCATTACTATATTGAGCTAATTTAACATATAGTTGTGAGAGGCTCCTGTGTGTATTATCTATGCAGCTTTCTCTACCCTCTGGCTCTCCAGATGTTGTTGAACTAGAACTACAACTCCTATGATTCTCTGGCTATCTATTTAATTCAAAGAATCATGAGAGTTCTAGTTCAGCAACATCTGGAGGGCCAGAGTTTGGAGAAGCCCGTATTAAAGGATTAAAGTTCTCTCTTTCATTGATAGCTTGTTGTCAAGTCTAAGAAGATACAAAAAATATAATAACTTCCTTTAACATTTTAAGCTATGCAGCTTTTGGCAAGAGAGGAAATGTTCTGTTTTTTAAACATGTTCTGTCTGTAGATACCATGAATGGATGAAATCAGAGGAACTGCAGAAATTGACGGCTTCGGAGCCTCTCACATTAGAGCAAGAATATAACATGCAGCGTAGCTGGAGAGAGGACCCAGACAGTGAGTAAAATATTTTATGTACCTCTTTTTTTTTTCTCATATGTTGTTTCTCTTTTTTTTTTCAGCATCACTTCATTTTTTTTTATTAAATCAAATTTTATTGAATTTTCGAGGATGACAAAGTTGTAAACAGATATGGGCATTGATCCATTTCTTTATAAATACGTCACTAGGCTCTTTTTGTGACTTATGACTGGCCATGCTCTACGGTTTGCAGAGGTTTCTTGATACTTTAGTCTGATACTTGCTGCTATGAGAATTAAAACTCAGAAAGTCTAGACCTACGTGATTTTCCTTTTTTTAATCATGCTTGTATGTGCACAGGTACGTGTAGAAAGGGAGTTAGGGCAGCATCTGTAGGCACTACCCTTGGAGTTGCCAAAAAGTAGGTCTGCTCCTATGTTACATTGCCGGCTTTAAAGGGAAACATTAAACAGCACAACTACTTTATTTAGTGGTTTCAGTACATCTTTACTCTGGCAATGTAAAAACACGCCTCTAGGGATTGTCAAACTAACAGCCACTAGAGGCACCTTGCCCTTAAAGGACCACTATAGGCACCCAGGCCACTTCAGCTTAATGAAGTGGTCTGGGTGCCAGTTCCAGCTAGGGTTAACCCTTTTTTCTATAAACATAGCAGTTTCAGAGAAACTGCTATGTTTATAAAAGGGTTAATCCAGCCTCTAGTGGCTGTCTCATTGACAGCCGCTAGAGGCGCTTGCGTGCTTCTCACTGTGATTTTCACAGTGAGAAGACGCCTGCATCCATAGGAAAGCATTATCAATGCCTTCCTATGAGACTGGCTGAATGCGCACGAGGCTCTTGCCGCGCATGCGCATTCAGACGAGGAGGAGGAGAGGAGGCGGAGAGGAGGAGAGGTGTCCCCCGCCCGGCGCTGGAGAAAGAGGACCCTGAGGGTGGGGGCACACTCAGGGCACTATAGTGCCAGGAAAACTAGTATGTTTTCCTGGCACTATAGTGGTCCTTTAAGAACTCTTTGAAATTGTTATGCACAGCCTGATGATGCCAAAGTGTGAAGCCCACAGAACTACATTTCCCTCAAACATGGGGAAAGGGACACCCAACAGGCATCTCTGATCATGGGTCTGGTCAAAGCACCTTAACCTTTTCTTAGAGCAGCCAGGCCCCTGTCAGATTGGCGGTGCTGGGAGGAATTGCGTTCAGGTCAAAGAACCTAGACCAGTTTCCCATAAGCCGAAACTAGCAACCAGATCTGGACCCAAGTGGGTGTATATTTTTGTGTGTATATGCATCTGTCAGAATGTTTGTGTGTATATTTTGTGTGCATGTGCATCTGTCAGAATGTGTGTGTGTGTTATAATGTGTGTTATTGTGTATGTGTATCTGTGTCAGAATGTGCGTGTGTATATCTGTGTATCTGTATCAAAATCTGTGTCAATGTGAATCTGTGTCAGAAGGTGTGTGACAGTGTATCTATGTCTTTCAGTATGTATGTGTATCTGTATCAGTATGTGTTTGTGCGTCAGTGTATGTGTATGTGTATATGTACATAAATCCCAGCATTCAAACACCCAACATTTTTCTCAGATACAGCCCTGCAGTCAAACGCCTAAACTAGTTACGAACAAATCACTGCGTTCAAACATCAACACTACACACTAATTCTCTAGATTCCTGAAAAAAAAATTCTGGAAAAAGTGAATACCCCTGTTATGATCTTGAGCAGGTCAGTTAAGAGACTTTGGCCAGAGTTAATATTTGAGGATTTATTGGGGAGTTCGGACATAAAAGAAAAATTCTTATAAATGAAAAAATAGGGAGAAGGAAAATAAGAGAAACAAAGGTTTAGGCTATATGCCCTATATGCATTATAAACCGGATGTAGAAAGAGAATAAGAGAACCTATAGATAAAAGTATAGGTTGAATATAGAGGGTTAAGTATAAAAGAATAGAACAGAACGGAACAAGGTTTCAGGAAAGTAGGAAAATCAGAACTTGTTTATGGGAGCACTGATAATAGCGGAAAATAACACCTTGTAATAGGAGTTAGCAGCAATGTCCAGATAGGTGTTATGCAGGTTGGTGTAAATCAGGATTGCAGGATAGTAGCATAGGTTAGGCTAGTTTGGAGCAGGTTGGTATAAAGCTGGTTAATAGGATAAAGCAGGATAGAAGCGTAGATTAGGCTGGCTTGGAGCAAGTTGGTATAAAGCTGATAAGTAGGATGGAGGCGTAGGTTAGGCTGGTTTTGAGCAGATTGGTATAAAGCTGGTTGGCAGGATAAAGCAGGATAGAGGCGTAGGTTAGGCTGGTTTGGAGCAGGTTGGTATAAAGCTGGTTTGCAGAATAAAGCAGGATAGAAGCGTAGGTTAGGCTGGATTAGAGGAGGTTGGTATAAAGCTGGTTGACAGGATAAAGCAGGATAGAACCGTAGGTTAGGCTGGATTGGAGGAGGTTGGTGTAAAGCTGGGTGGCAGGATAAAGCATGATAGAGGTGTATGTTAGGCTGGTTTAGAGCAGGTTGGTATAAAGCTGGTTGGCTGAATAAAGCAGGATAGAAGCGTAGGTTAGGCTGGATTGGAGGAGGTTGGTATAAAGCTGGGTGGCAGGATAAAGCATGATAGAGGCGTATGTTAGTCTTGTTTGGAGCAGGTTGGTATAAAGCTGGTTGGCTGAATAAAGCAGGATAGAAGCGTAGGTTAGGCTGGATTGGAGGAGGTTGGTATAAAGCTGGTTGGCAGGATAGAGGCGTAGGTTAGGCTGGTTTGGAGCAGGTTGGTATAAAGCTGGGTGGCAGGATAAAGCATGATAGAGGCGTATGTTAGGCTTGTTTGGAGCAGGTTGGTATAAAGCTGGTTGGCTGAATAAAGCAGGATTGAAGCGTAGGTTAGGCTGGATTGGAGGAGGTTGGTATAAAGCTGGTTGGCAGGATGGAGGCGTAGGTTAGGCTGGTTTGGAGCAGGTTGGTATAAAGCTGGTTGGCAGGATAAAGCAGGATAGAACCGTATGTTAGGCTGGTTGGCAGGATAAAGCAGAATAGAAGTGTAGGTTCTTAGGTAGGATTACAGGAGCCAGGAACAGAAGTCTTACAGGATGAGCATCAACTTCATTGTAAAGGCAATGTGGTGAGTTGGGTGTAGCCTTTTGTAGCTTCTTAATTAGCCCAGGCAGGAGGATGATGAAGGCAAAGCATAATCTGTGCAGGAACTTGGTTTTAAAGAAACAGAATAAACGAAACAAACTTAGATAGGATCCTGACAACCCCTGGGAAGGTTGCACTCCTGTGAGTCAGTGACAGGGTCTTTCTTCCTGGACCCAGCAATAATGGACAAATAAAAAACAAAGATACATTATTTTGATAATTTTGGGACTATTGTAATTTCTCGCTTTTTACTGTGAAGTGATCAGTGATTCACAAAGTTACGTCTCATTAAGTGCTTGCAGTTTAGCTGTGTTCATATTGCCATGGGTACAGAAGAATATTCATTCATTTTGCTGCCTCCTGTTGATGTGCTGGCAGTTTGAGAAACTGCTTTTTACCTAACACCACTGGCTAGCATTATATCGGACAATAATTACAACAAAAATAGCAGCTGTGCTCGTAACCTCAATGTTTATTTTTAACACATATTTGTGTATCTTCTTTGCAGAATGTACCTTCATTATATTGGATGCCCTACAGTGGGAACAGGGTTGCCCTGAGGAGCAATGCATGGTGGGAGATGTTAATCTGTTTCTCACCGAATCTGAAAATCCAGGATTAGCAGAAATCGAAATTATGATAGCAGGTATTTCTGCCATATTTTTTTTTCCTCCTTAATATTCCCTTCTTTATTATTCATTTAGCATACCCACATATTTGTTCATGGTTTCTTCCCCAAACCTACTAATAAACCCAAAACCTAACCTTATTGACCACCACATCTCCCACACGTCTACTTCATACTCTCATATTACAGTGCTCGTATTACAGTGCTTTAGACTGGCAAAACATGGAAGCTGTAGTTTTAAAAACATCTGAGGATCTACCTTTTGGGCATCCCTGTATTTAAGGAACTTTCAGATGCGGACCTTGCAAAGCATGTCTGTTTATTCTGCCCTCCAAAAATACCTACGATACCCACACAAAGAGTATTTTGAATCTAATACGCTTGCAAATTGCGCCACAACATATGTGATATATATTATCGCATGTAGTTATGGTTTATTATGTTTTGTTAAAACTGATCAACCATTTAGGTGTCACATTTTATAACATGAACATTCTGTGGTTAATCTCCATGTATCTACCCCTATTGCTATATATTTAAGAGCCGTTCATGATGGTGACTTAGCCTTCTTAAATTCCAAGTTATTGAGAAATTGAGGAATAATCCTCAAAAAGTGGATTTAAATATTGGTCTTTTGATATTAGAATCCAAGTGGATATATTTCTTTAAATCTCAGACATTTAATGGGTTGAATGAAGAATTCAACTTTACTCCCATTATACACTGCATCTGTCATTCTGCATATAAGTGTGTTGTTAATGGATCTTTAGTTATTAGATTCTTGTACATATGTAAATAACTTAATATTTTTGTTTTAGTTACTCTTATTTGTCAAGAGCCTATTGTCATTTCCAATATGAACACCACTTGAGCTGTAGTTAAAATGGAATATATCAAATTTTCATCACTAGTGGTTCTGGTTTTATTCTGTGTCTTTAATGTCTGTTGACTATGGTGAATTAAGTCCAATTGGGAAAACAACAGATGATTGTCATCTCTTTACTTTTATAATTGGCCTACTACATCCTGAAGTTATGGTATTTAATTCCCGTTCGATTTATGGTCTATTTCCACGCGAAATGCGTATCAGGGCTCGGTATCTTTAGAGTAGAGAAGAGTAGATTTTATTAAGATAGAAAAGTAGGTTTTATTACCTTTACTTCGATCTGTATTCCTTTTCTTCAATAGCCCTTAGTGATTGCTTCTAGTCTCGTTTTTTTTTTTTTCATTTTTTTTTTTACTTTTGTGTAATGCATCCCTCTCATATCTGTCAGTCCCTACATTGGCTTCCTATAAGATATAGAGCTCAATTTAAAATTCTGGTTCTTGCTTTCAAACCGCTACATAATGCTGCTCCCACCTATCTATCCTCCCTTATACACAAGTATGTCCCGTCTAGGCCCTTACAATCTGCTGAAGACTTACGTCTCTCTTCTGTCCTTACTTCCACCTCTGATGCTCGCCTTCAAGATTTCTTGAGGGCAGTACCGTTCCTGTGGAACTCGCTTCGCTCCTCCGTTAAATGCTCACCGAGTCTCCACTCCTTCAAAAAATCATTAAAAACCCACTTCTTCATAAAAGCGTATCAATTAAACTGTTAATAGCTCCTGACTGATTCCTCTTCTGCAACTGTCACTAGTCTAATACTATCCTTACCTTTTGTGTCATTTTACCCCACTCCCTCTAGCATGTAAGCTCATTGAGCAGGGCCCTGAACCCCTCTGTTCCTTTGTGTCCAACTTGTCTGGTTACAACTACATGTCTGTTCGTCCACCCATTGTAAACTGTTGTGGAATTTGATGGCGCTATATAAATACCATAATAATAATCTTATCTATTATCAGTGATTTAATTGTGCTACCCAGACTTTTTAGTCCTTTTTTTTTTTTTTGCCCGGTTTCCCTGTCGTAAATATGGTAATTCATTAATTCCGGTATTTAACATTTTATAGTATTTTAGGATATTTGATTCATAAAGAGAATAAATTACTTGGTTATGATTTTCCAAACTGATTAGTTGCTTATATCCAACTCATTACTATTTGAATATTCCTCTATACTTTGTAACCTTGGTGGTTTCCAAGACCATTTAAAATTCTGAGGTATCTGGGCATTTGGATTGCCGCTATGTAGAAATATAAAACAGTGATTACACTGTTGCGGTTCATTGTATCTGCTGTCAGTTAATAACAAGCATTTTACTGTACAACAAATTCATTCTCAGGAATATTGTTTCAGGCCCCTAAATAGGTAGTCCAGTACTACTGTGTAAGGAATACATGTTTGTATTGCTAACACTGTTGTGTTCCTTTAATAATAGTGGCCGTGTATGAACCAGGTGCAGTAATCTGTCAAAATCTTAATACTGCCTTTTTGGCATTATTTTTTAAATATTTTGTTGTGTTCTATATTATCAAATGTATCTGCATTTTGTAGAATAACCAGTCTATAATCATTTTACCCCACTCCCTCTAGCATGTAAGCTCATTGAGCAGGGACCTCAACCCCTCTGTTCCTGTGTGTCCAACTTGTCTGGTTACAACTACATGTCTGTTCGTCCACCCATTGTAAAGCATTGCGGAATTTGACGGCGCTCTATAAATATCATAATAATAATATAATCTAACCATTTTTTATTTATAGAGCCTGTATTTCGTGGCAGAGGGTTTGGTGAAGAATCTGTTCGCCTGATGTTATTTTATGGTAAGTTGAATTTTTTTGGAATTAATTCTGAAGTATTTAATGTAACCTCTATCTCTCTCTTGTGAAGGTGTTACAGCACTGGGAATCTCCACGTTTGAAGCCAAAATTGGACTAGAGAATGTCACAAGTATTCGGTTGTTCCACAAACTGCATTTCCAAGATGTAGGTGAATCTATATCGCTATACCTACATGTCTAATGTCCAACGTAACGCATCAGTCCACGTGATATATTTTTTCTGTACATAGGTTTCTCTGAGCCAAGTATTCCAAGAGATGACACTAAGGTGGGAAGTGACTGAACCAGAAAGACAGTGGCTGGCTCCCTCAAGTCCTGTGATGATGACAACTTACAAAGAAATCCAAAGAAACATTAATAATTCAAAACTTGGTCAATCAAGAAGCGACGTCTCTTCAGATGTCAAATCTGTATAGCAGTAACCATTACCACACGGAGTAAGAACATTGGTGGGAATGAAGATCCAATAGACGGGAGCTGCTGATCTCTTAATCATAGGAGGAGCATAAATATGCCCCGTATTGGAGAATATCTGTTACAGTATTTTTAATTAAAAGTATAATTAGTAATGCATTTTTTTTATAGTAATCTAGATTGGGAAAAAAAGACTTATATTAATAATTTTCAACATTTTGCACATTTCTGTTCCTGCTCGTCCAAAAAGTAAAAAAAAAACAAAAAACAATATAACACATTTTATAATTGTGCCACAAAAAGAGTGGCCAGGATGCATCTTGTGTCTGCAAGTTGTCCCCACACATTAATTATATCCTTAATTATAAAAAACTAGCCCTTTTAAAAAACAATCTCTATAGAAATTGATAAAACAATCTATTTAGGAAGAGAAGTCCATATTTTGATTGTTCTTACTGTAGCTAACCCTTTTATGTAGGTATATGAAGGTAAACCCCATGAATGTTTAGCAGAAGTTAAAGAGAATTCTCTTTTCAGAAAGGAAGCAAATTCATCTGATAAACCTGTGTTTGTTGACGGGTCCAGTTTCTATTCAGATGGGAAGTACTATACAGGTTATGCTATATGGCAGTGATGGCGAACCTATGGCACGCGTGCCACAGGTGGCACGCCAGGCCCTCTCTGTGGGCACACAGCCATAGGTCACCAGGAGAGGGGGCCGCTGGCTGTCTGCAGAGTAGGCACCTGTCTGCCCGAGTAGGCAGGCGCTTACTCTGCTTCCGGGTCGGGAGGCAGGGGGAGGGCTCTAGGAAGCAGCTCTCCTATCCTCCTGCGAGCAAGCTGTGTGGAGCGTTGCCGCGCGTTACCATGGCATGCTCCACACAGCATAGCGCGGGAGGACAGAGGAGCTGCTTCCTACAATACTTCCCACCACCGGACCACCAGGGATGGCTGTGTCCCCCCTCCTTCACCAAAGCTAAGTGGAAGGTAGGGGGTATACAGAATTAATATAACTTTTTTTTTTAAATGTATCTTTACCCCTACACAGCACCCCTAACCCCCTACACAGAACCCCAGAGCACAGCACCCCTACCACCCACAGCACCCCTCCCCCCACAGCACCCCTCCCCACAGCACCCTCCCCCCAGAGCACCCCTACCCCCACACAGCACCCCTACCCCCCACAGAGCACTCCTTACCCCCACACAGCACCTACCCCCCCAGCACAGCACCCCCACCCCTGCCAGCACCCTTACCCCACAGCACCCCTACCCCCCACAGCACAGCACCCCTAACCCCTACCCCCACACAGCACATCACCCCTACCCCACACAGCACATCACCCCTACCTCGCACACACACAGCACCCCCACACACAGTACCCCACCCCACACACACAGCACCCCTCAGACACACACACAGCACTCCACACCCTTACACACATACACTGCACCCCTCAATGCAGTATGTATGTGTGTATTCAGCAGTCTGTGTGTGTATGCATTCAGCAGACTGTGTGTACTCAGCAGTCTGTGTGTGTGTGTGTGTGTCGGTGTATTCAGCAGTCTGTGTGTGTGTATATTCAGCAGTCTCTGTGTGTGTGTGTATTCAGCAGTATGTGAGTGTGTGTACTCAGCAGTCTGTGAGTGTGTGTACTCATCAGTGTGTGTGTATTCAGCAATCTGTGTGTGTGCGTGTGTATGTATTCAGCAGATTGTGTGTATGTACTCAGCAGTCTGAGTGTGTGTACTCAGCAGTCTGTATGTGTGTGTACTAAGCAGTGTATGTATTCAGCAGACTGTGTGTGTGTGTGTATTCAGCAATCCGTGTGTGTATTCAGCAGTCTGTCTGTATGTGTATTCAGCAGTCTGTCTGTGTGTATGTATTCAGCAGACTGTGTGTGTGTGTGTGTGTGTGTATTCAGCAATCCGTGTGTGTATTCAGCAGTCTGTCTGTATGTGTATTCAGCAGTCTGTGTGTATGTATTCAGCAGACTGTGTGTACTCAGCAGTCTGTGTGTACTCAGCAGTCTTTGTGGGTGTATTCAGCAGTCTGTGTGTGTGTATTCAGCAGTCTGTGTGTGTGTGTATTCAGCGGTCTGTGTGTGTGTGTATTCAGCAGTCTGTGCGTGGGTGTATTCAGCAGTCTGTGTGTGTGTACTCAGCAGTGTATGTATTCAGCAGACTGTGTGTGTGTATTCAGCAGTGTATGTATTCAGCAGTCTGTGTGTGTGTATGTATTCAGCAGTCTGTGTGTGTGTATGCATTCAGCAGTCTGTGTGTACTCAGCAGTGTGTGTTTATGTATTCAGCAGAATGTGTATTCAGGAGTGTATGTATTCAGCAGTCTGTGTGTGTGTATGTATTCAGCAGTCTGTGTGTACTCAGCAGCGTGTGTGTATGTATTCAGCAGTCTGTGTGGGTGTGTGTGTGTACTCAGCAGTGTATGTATTCAGCAGTCTGTGTGTGTGTATGTATTCAGCAGTCTCTGTGTACTCATCAGTGTGTGTGTATTCAGCAGTCTGTGTGTGTGTGTATGTACTCAGCAGTCTGTAAGTGTATGTACTCAGCAGTCTGTGAGTGTGTGTACTCGGCAGTCTGTGTGTGTGTGTACTCAGCAGTGTATGTATTCAGCGACTGTGTGTGTGTATTCAGCAGTGTATTTATTTAGCAGTCTGTGTGTATTCAGCAGTCTGTCTGTGTGTGTATTCAACAATCTGTCTGTATGTGTATTTAGCGGACTGTGTGTGTATTTAGCGGACGGTGTGTGTGTGTTTAGCGGACGGTGTGTGTGTGTATTTAGCGGACGGTGTGTGTGTGTATTTAGTGGATGGTGTGTGTATGTATTTAGCAGCCGGTGTGTGAATGTGTTCAGCAGTCTGTGTGTATGTATTGCATTTGTTGGAGATACTAATAAATATAAGCTTAATTTTATCTATTTATATCATAATTTAAAATTTGTATCACTGAACTCTCTGTTGTGTTCTTCTTTTAAAACAAAAGTTGTTAATTAGTTCGGACAACTGTACAAGTAGTTTTTTTCTAAACTTAAACCTCAGTATTCAGGTTTTATTGCCGTGTTGGCACTTTGAGGGAAAAAAAGTTGGCATGTATTGCTGTTTGGGCACTCGGGCTCAAAAAGATTTGCCATCACTGCTATATGGTATCCAAAACGAGGATATTCAGTAGAACATAAATTACCAGGTCATTTGTCAGCACAGAGAGCAGAACTAGAAGCATTAAAAACAGTAATAACACTTGAGGCAAAAGAAGAGCGTCCCCTAGTGATATGTAGTGACAGTTCATATGTGGTCAGATCGCTAACAGAACATTTAGCCAAATGGAAAAGAAGAGGTTTCGTAGATGCCTCAAAAAAAGTGTTAGCACACAAAGAGACACTAGAGACCATATTTGAAATTGTGTCTCAAGAGCCATGTTTACACCAAAAAGGTAAAGATGTACTTAATAAATTTGCAAAAAGAGCAGCGTTAACTAGTGAAAAGGCCTTGCTGACAGAGCCTATGCCAGTAGCAATGGTTAGAAAGACTAACACACAGCCTCCATCTTTTGCAGAAGAACAGGCAAAGGATTCTTCCCTTGACGGCTTCTCGGGTTGATCCAAAACCTCCATTTGTTCATGAAAACAGGGGTTTTGTGTCATGAACAAAACGGAGAACTGTGTCCCATCATGCCAGAACATCTAAAAATGTTATTGACACAATATAATCATGAAAGTTTAGGTCATATTGGACTGCAGAAACTGTTAGAGATACCCAGATACCCAGAGATAAGTTTTATTGGGATAACATGGAAAACACTGTATGGCAGGTAGTTCAATCGTGTTTGATATGTGCACAAATAAATCCTAAAGACCTAAAGGACAAAAAACACCTATACAATGTATAGCACCTCCAAAAGGTCCTTGGTCTACTTCACAAATTGATTTCATTGGGCCACCCAATAAATAAGAAGAATTTACTTACATGTAAATGAATAAGTATCATGCAGAATAGGAAGCTGAGAGAGGTAAGCAGCGTTGAGGGGGCACTGGTGTCTCAAAAAGGTATTGAATTGCACCCGGTGGGGGGGATCTGAAAAAGAGTACAGTTTGTATTCCTAACGCTATAGTGTTTTTAATGTAAACCTTGAGACCTAAGGAGGGACAAGCATCTCTGTTTAACCAGTATTTAGATCTGTTTCATTATGTCTTGCTAAACTAGTGTCTCCCTAATACAACATGGTAACTGAGATATAAAGTCTTTGCTTCGGGTGCTTGAAGGTCAAGAATCACCTGGTGTTGCTCTTGAAAGTCAAATGATAGTGGTTTATCTTGTTAAACCAAACAAAGAAAATTAACATGTGTGGCCCCAATTAAGAAGTCAGACGTCAAACCATTAGCATTTCTGGCACTTTAACTACTACATTGCCCTGTCATGCCTCCCAACCTTTGTGATTTCAGCAGGACAGTCCTGATTTTCAGGTCCTGTCCAGCCATCCTGACTTTGTTCCCACTTTTGAGGACACCAGGGAACTGCCTCATAAAAAGTTTAGCACAAAAGCATCATTAGACACGCTCACAGTACACACAGGGCTCTAGCACTGAAAAAGAGCTTGTCCTGCCCTCAGTGGGATGGTCTGCTTGATTGACAGGAAGCATGGTGTGCCACTAATTTGGGTCCACCCCCTTTCAGCAGAGCCAGTGACACAATCCTCCTTTACCTCGTGACATTCCACCTATCTGTATGCCAGTGTTGGGGGATATGCACTGTAGTGGTTATGGTGCTTGGAGAGTTCATTTAAGGTCACTTTTAGCATAAGTGGATTTCTGTATTCATGAACACTGATTTTTACCTTGGAAATATTGAGAGATTGCTTTCTTTGCATACATCAGTGAATAAGTGCTAAATAACCAAACTGAAAGGTAATTTGTATACTGCATAATGATTTCACACACTACTGGTTCAGGACATACTTTGCTAAATTTATAGACCTATTGTAAATTGCAGTAGGTTCCTAATCATATCCATAATTATAGTGCATTAAATTATATTTACATGGATTGATTTATTAAGCCATTCTTATGGATACTGTGATACTGACTTTTGTTATTTATGTTGTCACTTGCAAGGTATCTTTGTTTAACCCCTTAAGGACACATGACATGTGTGACACGTCATGATTCCCTTATATTCCAGAAGTTTGGTCCTTAAGGGGTTAAATGAAAAATGTCAAGCCTTCCCTGATGGTCCTTCCCAATGCATTGCCATTTAAGTGATTTTAGTAGGAAACATTCACTTACCCAAACGAAGATATATCTGGCAAAGCATTAACACGGTCATAAAAACAGTAATCTTTGCCAGCCAAAGCAGAGTGAGATGCTAAAATGGCATCTATAAGGATATAACAAGAAAGGTCACTACCAAAAATTACCTAACAAACAATAGGAAGACAGATACATTGATGGGGCTATGTGAAATATATGAAAACAATTTTTTTGCAAACAAGGTTTGATTTTTTTTAGACCAAGAATTGTCTGAAATTCAAGGTGAATTTCAAAATATGGGCCGAAATAGCTGAACATAAAATAAAAATGACTTGGAGAATTTTTCGAATTCTGCTAATTTATTATTTTAGCAAACAAAGTAAATTAAGGAACAAACAAAGTATACTAGAAGAGAGAATGGAGAAAAACCTTTATATTGACATATGTAAACATATTCTCTAGTACCCAAATGTTTTATCATCCAGCAGCCCCCGACTTTCTCTTTAGATAAAAAAAAATAAAAAAATTTAAACATTTTTATCATGGCTTCTATATATACCCCCAATCATATTCTATATGTCATATAGGCCTTCCAAGGATCCCAGACTTTTAAGAAGGTAGAAGAAGAATGTCTAACGCTCGATGTTAAATCATCCATAAAAGACATTTCTCAACGAGGGTGGATCTGCGTTTAAACAACCAGCAGCAATGCATCTACGTGTTACCAGTGTAATGAGGTATAATAGTTTCTGAGAGTGTCTAGGTAAACCTACTATGGACTTAGAGAGTTAGAAGATCCATGGAGATAGATCGATCTGTTCCTATAGAATTATCAACATCAGGTTTTTTTTTATTTCTTTCCAAAAAGATTATTTTTTAGGACACTCCCACCACATGAAAATATGACCCTCTCTGTCCACACCCCTGCCAGCAGAGATCAACAGAATTTTTAACATCTGTTCTTGGGAGAACACACCTATAGATATTTTAGATGCTGTTTCCCAGATATCTGTGCACTCTTCAGCATCAAGAGACTCCCCCAATATCCCACTGCGATATGTAATTTAATGGGCCCCATATTGTAGGTTCCTCACATAGATGGTTATATAGATCAGAGATAAGACCTCTCTTTGTGATACCTCTTTTACATAGCTTTTCAAAAGCGGTAAAAGGAGACTGAACTGCCGCCCTGACTAGTGGAATAGGCAAAATCTATAATCTAAAGATATTGAAAAATTTCCCCGCTTCAGATCTAGTTGAAAGCTTAAATTATTAAAATAAATCACCTCTCCTCCTGACTAAAAGTCGTAATATCTCTGGATCCATCCCTGTTCTAGCTTTTTAAAATTATGCTGTACCAAGCCCAGGCTAAATTGCCTGTTCCGAAGGACTGGGGTCATATGGGAAGGACGGTTAGTCAAACAATACTTCATCTAAAGTTTATCCCAAATATATATAGAGAGAGTTTAAGATTGCTTGGTGTCTGAGTTTTTTTTGTTTGTTTTTTTACAGTTTGGCATGGTATGGACCATTTATACAGTTTCAGTACTATTAGTTCTATTGGTATCTTTTTTTTTTTTTTTTTTACTTTTATGGCAACTAAGATTGTCTCCTTAACCCCTTAAGGACAGAGCTTTAAAAGCTTGTCTTTCACTTAATGACAACAGCATTTTTTTTCATTTTTTGCTGTTTGCGTTCAACTGCAATTTGCATTTTACTAATTTGTTGCACCAACACATATTATACATCGTTTTTTTAAAGGACAGATAGGGCTTTAATTTGATGTAACACACATATATATAAATGCTTATTTATTATAAAAAAATACAGAAAAATATTTTTTTTTTAATGAAAATTTTGTGTTTTTTTTTACAGTTTTTGCAATAATAATCTGTGCATAATTAGTGCAGGTTAAGAAAAGTAATTAAAAATAAATTAATTTAGTTGTTCTGATTTACACAATATATAATGTGTCTGGGATTTTAAGTTTTTTTTGGTAGTTACAGGTCACAAAGCACAAGGAGCGAAATAGACTTTTAATGTGGAGCGATCTTAGAATTTGGTATGTTTGTCTTGTAAGCTTAATAGCCATAAAAGAAAACAAAATTGCCACACAAACGTATATATTTATATAAAGTAGACATCACAGGCTATTTACCTAAGGTTGTTTTGACACTTTCTACGTAGCCATTTCACCGCCAACCTCTGCTAAATATTGGAGTAAAATTGTGTTTTTTTTGGTTTTTGGCACACAAACTTATAACAAAGAAATTCCCATGTATATTTTGTAATGTTGGTGTGTGCTATTCCTGTACAAAGTTTTATTTTGTGTTCAGTTACATCTGCTGAGTAAAATGACACCCCCATTGTATGTCTTTGGCACTATTTCGTGAAGTTACAGTGCCATACAGGATATCTGTCCTTTTCAGTATTCACAGTAGAATTTTGAGAAATGGATTTAATGAGCCTTAGCTTCCATTTGGGGTATTATAACAGTTTGACTGTTCAAAAAACCCCCACAAAGGCCTACCATTTGTAAAAGTAGACACTCCAGGGTATTTCATAAGGTGCATATTGTGCCTTAACATGCCCCCATTTTTTCACCAATATATGCCAAAGTATGTGGTAAAAAATAATTTTGTGCATTTTTTACATACGGATTGCATTTTTGCTGGGCGTTTTGTATATTTCATATGTGCCACTAAGTTCAAACCTCCCAAATTATGCTCAGCTAAGTCTTCTGAGTAAAAAGACACCCCCAATGAATGTCTTTGGCACTATTTCGTGAAGCTACAGTGCCATATAGGAGACCAAGCCATATCGTTTTTACCGAACTTTGAATTTTGACGCTGGGCCTATGTGCAATTTCCAAGCATCTTCGCAGGTTTTAAATTCAAACTACCCCACAAAGGCCTACCATTTCTTAAAGTAGACACCCCAGGGTGTTTCAAAAGGTATATTTTGAACCTTAGCGTGGGATCATTTTTCCGCTAGCTTGTACCAGATGTAGTGGTAATAAGCGTTTTTTCTGCCTTTTTGACATACAAAGTGAGTTTGCACAGTATGTTTTGCAAACCTTATGTGCGCTACGACTGTATAATTCTTCATATGTTGCTCAGCTATGTCGGCTGAGTACAGCAATACCCCCGTATGTACCTTTGCCAGGTATGTATGGACATCAGAGGGGCACATTTGGGACACAGCCATTCCAGTTTTTTTCAATCTTTGAATTTTTACGCTGTGTCCATGTTCCAATTTGGAGTAGTTTAGATGGTTGGTTATTGAAACTTCCCCACAAACACATACTATTTATTAAAGAATACACCCTGGGGTAATTCAAAAGGCATATTTTGAACCTTGAAGAGAGGAAAGAAAGGTTAGCGCTAATAATAACTATATACAAAAATAAAGGCAGCGGCCTTATAGAGGGTCACCCTCTAACCCTCTACAGTGGAAATATATACAAAAACAGAGAATAAGGCTGCGCCAAGAAAATAAAAATAAGTCCAAATAATAAAATGTTCTAATAAGAGAGTCCCAATGGTAGGTGGTGTTTCAATTGGTGTGGTGTCTTCCTTAGCAGTGGTCGTCCGTCTCACGATATGAAAGACACAATGGGAGAGAGCCAATTGTGCAGAGTGTATAAATAAATAATATTTGAATAAAATATAAATTACACACTCACATTGCCATGAGCTAGGACCAGCTCAGGTATGATGGGCATACGGCGGATAACCCTCCGCTTGTAGGGGTACTTTTCCTCCTGGAGCGTCCTGGTGTCCAAATTCTCAGGTAAAGAAAATAAAAACAGCCAATAGTGCTCTCTGATAAAATGGTTGGTAAAAAGGATAAAAAGTAAATAAAATATACTCACAAGTCGAGTGCAGGTCAATCTGCACTCTGATATTCGCGTGGGTGGTATAATCCCCACATTAGGATATGCCAGGAACAATAAATGAGGTTAAAAGTAATAATAATTATAAAATTATTTATTAGTACAATATATTAAAACCAATAACGCGTTTCGCCGTGGAGGCTTTATCAAATTGGAATAGTAGAGATACCTGGCACATTAGGAGTATATATAGCTAATACAAACATTTAAAATTGGCGCCAAAAAATTGATCAACCAATTGAATTGATACAAAATGTAAATAAAGAATATACATGCAAAAGATGAAAAATAATATAAATTATAGATATCCATAAACATAGGATGAAATGTGTATATGAATATATAAAAAACGAGCATTATTTAGTATAGAAATAAGATAAAATATAAACTTCCGGTTTCGTGCGAGTCACGTGACCCGCAATGCACCTTGGGGCATGTAGTGCCGGGTCATGTGATCGCCGATATACAAATACACAGTCCGTGCGGCCGCAATAGAAGAAAACGGCACGCACGGACTGGGGAAGAGGGGGGCGGGTTCGGACCTTGTCACGTGACCCGCGGTGTCAAGAATCAATAATACCCGCGGGCCACGTGACCATACCCGCAAGGAACACTGGGGAGTGTAGTTTTGAGCAACACATTAAATAAAATATAGTAGAAAGTGATAAGGTATAATTGAAACTGGTATATAAATAAAAAATAACATATAATAGGAGGTAGTAAGATATAAAACAAATCAGTATGTAATTAGAACAAGCATATTAAAATATATAAAATATGTATAAAATAAACCAATTAGGAGGGGCATAAAATAATAAATCAATAATAGCAAAGGTAGAAGTAAAATAAAATACTAATATATATTAAACAAAAATATATATTAAAGCAAAAAGATAAAATAAAAAATAATAATTAAAAAGTAAAAGATTATAAAAAGTTAAATAAATCAAAATCCACATTAAGACCTTGGGGAGTAAGAGTTTGTAAATTATATATCCATTCCATCTCTGATCTACCAAGGATATTTTTAATGTTACCACCTCTCCAGGGTATTTGGCACTTCTGAATACCTAGGACTTTAAGAAATTTCGGATCTTGATTATGATTAATAAAATGTTTAGATACTGAGTGGTTTAGGAATCCATTTCTTATGTTCCTACAGTGTTCTGCCAGTCGTGTCTTAAGACACCTGGTGGTCATACCTACGTATTGGAGGCCGCAGGGGCACTCCAATAGGTAGATGACGTTGGTAGTGTTACAACCAATAAAATCTCTTATCTTATAACTTTTATTTGTTTGGTTGGATTTAAAGTTAGTGATTTTAGATTTGTTTGTCTGATCGGTGTTTTTACATACAGTGCAACGTTTACATTTGTAAAAACCTTTTGCCCCATCTAAAAACGTATTTTGAATATTTTTGGTCACTTTGGTATAGTTATTAGTTAAAATTGATCTAAAATTAGGTGCCCCTCTAAAAACAATTTTTGGCTGTGCA